CTTCTCTCAACCAATGCCCACTCTGGTAGCTTGGGGTGACTATACCTCTTAAAGCAAGAAACATTAATAATTGAGTTTTACGCTCTTAGAGAGGATGGTTTTTCAAGGGTTCTTTAGTGAAGGCTATGGTTCTATTTAGAACCATGAGATCTATGTAGAACCATTTGCATGTTTAAATGGTTCTTTGCATTGTTCTTCAGATTGATGGAGAATTTGTTGTGCATGGTTCCATATAGCACCAAAAAGGGTCCTGCTATTATTATGATGTCAAGCTTTTAACAATAGAAAGTGCTATAGAGAACCTTTTTCAAAAAGGTTCTATATTGAATCATATACAACACATTCTAAAAAAGTGAAGGTTTAGGAAGATGAGCAACTGTCAATTTGGGTTCTTAACTAGTTCTTAAGTAGGTAAGAGCTACATAATTGGTACACAGTAAAAGTAGCCCGCTAACAAGCTTGCAAGATTTATTCCAGTCTAGATAAATTAAACAGTGAGTTTTGATTAGAGAATTGCAAATACATGTGTAGAGTAAAAGCTGTTTTTCTTACATTATCCTAAACCATCCTGTGAAGTTCTTCCTGTGGTACACCAAATTCCTTGGTGTTAACCTAGTGGAGAACCTCACCTGGACCCTAAATACCAGCCAAGACAGCCCAGCAGCGTCCTGTGGAAGCTAAGGAAAGCTCATCTCCCACCCTTTAGTGAATAGTGAGGGCAGCTGAAAGGATCATTAGGATCTCTTTTCCTTCCATCACGGATATTGACACCACACGCTGCATCCGAAAAGCCACAACCATTGTAGACGACCCCTGCACACCCCTCACATGAACTGTTCTCTCTTCTGCTATCTGGAAGAAGGTACTCAGCATTCAGGCCCTCACAGCCAGACTGTGCGACAGGTGTCTTTCCACAAGCCATCAGATTCCTCAACTCCCACGGACTGAACTGACGGACACCCACGTAGACACACTTACACATATACAAACATCATTTCACGCCCCATTCCTTGCAATTCCAGACTATGTCTGAGATCCTGTAATTCATTATAATTATTGCATTTCACACTGAAATACTTTACTTAATATAATTTATGTATCTGGTCCACCAAATACTGTATTCCATTGCTGTTCTGGTTGCTACCACAGTGACTGCTTTGCTCATATATGCTAGGCTATCTGCTATTATGTCATAATGTGTTACATCCTGCTTTGCACAACTCAACATATTCTGAGTACCATGTACTGTCTGTGCTCTGTTTTGTATTTATTGTAAGTAATTCGTATTTACTGTACTGTATTGTCTGCACTGTGTATATTGTATTGTCTTGCACCTGTGTTGCTGTGTTGGTCCTGGAGGAATGTTGTTTCATTTCAATGTGTACTTGTATATAGCTGAAATGACAATAAAGCCTCTTGAAGTAAAGTGAGCTAATTAAAAATGGCTAAAGTTAAAGCTTAGTAGTTTTTAATCCCTTAACATCCGAGGCTTATTACATACTAAAGCTCATTATTCATGCTGGCACTGGCTGATACTCAGTGTCTCAGTATTGGTGTTGGAAAAGGAAAAGCGCTATAACGAGAATCTATAATGTGTCTATAATGGTAGAGAGAGCATTCAAGTTGTTGCTCAGTTTGCCATTTAGCATCAACTTTGTGTGAAGATGCTTTCAGGAAACCCAGCCCAGTTCATTTGGAAGTTTAATTTCAAACTAACTGTCTGTCATGTTAAAGTAAAACCTTTCAACTATATGTTTTTGTCATTTTCAATGTCTACCATAGAAGAACCATAGAATTAGTACTGATATCAGAAAATAGTGTAACTGGTGTTACTTGAATCAAAATTAAATCGATGGTATCACCCATCTTACAGATTACTGAAAGCCCCATGAGCCTAACACTGTAACGTCAATCTGTAAAGGCCTATTGGATGAAAAAACTCCCGCCAAATTGAAACAATGAGAACCACCAAATTTTGCCATATTGTCATAGAGTCTATACTTGAATAGCGTGCCTGTGCTTTTCTAAGTGATTGGACATAAGATTTTCGCGCAGTGATCATCCAAATACAGTTTTTTTCCCATAGGAAACAAATGGCAAAATGTTCAGAAATTCAGAGCTAACTGCCACAAATTTATCCCAATGGAGACCTCCCTCAAAGACACATAGGAATTACATACAGACACAGATATATAGACACTATTGCCCAGTAAAAAATGCAGTTTTTATAACTTAAAAAAGTAACTGGGTTAACTTGAAATGTTGAGTTTGTTGAACTTATAATAATAAGTTAACAAATGCAAAAACACAAATTATACTTTTGTGAATTCAAAATTACAAGTTCTATGAACGCAAAATTTAAATTGTAAAACAGATAGTATGGTCCTAAAATCTGAGTGGCTGAGCAGCGTTGGAAGTGGTTTTAAAATACACCACTTAGGCACACCTATGAGCCCCTCACAGCGACTGAACTTTGTATTACTGCACCATGTCACAAAAATCCTTGCGCTGTAAATGGAACGATCTTTGACTCTAATGCTGCTCAAATGGTCCACTGATGAAATAAAAACCCTGATACCTCATTTTCTTTTTAACATTAACCGGCTAAAACATAGCAAAACGCTAAACAACTCCATCATTAATATCACAGGTTTAAATTAAAAGACTTACAATATGATGCACCTTAAAACAGCAATATAAAAGTATAAAGCATGTCATTTGAATAGCTTACATGCATCCTTGTTTCAGTCAGGTCTGTTGTTCTCATCACCTGAGCACTTTATCACTCTTCACCAGTGTCAAGTTTACATTTCCTGTTACACTATGCAATAATACTATCACTGAGAACAATGTGCAATATTTTTTTCTATACAATGTGCAATGTGTATGTTTTATGTCAGTCTATGCTATCTAGTGTGTCTATGTGGAGTTTCCTTTTATGTTATATTTACGTATATTTTTGGACATCAGATTTGGAGAAGCACAATCTCGTTCAGACTCTGCGCTGCTTGCTGTATAGTCTGAATGACAACACAGTTCACTTTGACTCGACTTTGAGGTCTGCCTTAAGTAGTTAGCTAGCATCAAACCCAGGCTGAATCTCAAATGACACCATACTCCCTAAATAGTGTGCTAATATCAAACCCAGGCTGAATCTCAAACGACACCATACTCCCTAAATAGTGTGCTAACATTAGATTAGATTATTAGATTAGATTAGATTAGATTCAACTTTATTGTCATTGTGCAGAGTACAGGTACAGAGCCAATGAAATGCACTAGCTATTAGTGCACTATTTGTCAAGTATAGACATTGTTGAATCCCAAGTGATCATTTTAGCTGTATTATGCACTCTTGATGTGCAGGAGTAAGTATTTTAATTGCTATGTAGTGCACTATGTAGGAAGCTGGGAGCTATTTGAGATTCAGCCTTGCAGAGGTAATTTGGTAACCAAAAAGTACTTAAAAAGCGGATCTTTATGTATTAAACAATGCTATGTTATAACATGTTCATTATTATGCAACAAAAGTAAAAAAATCATGAAATGATTGAATATTTTATGTTGGCCGCATTTCATAGGCACCTGAGAACATGTGTTACTGCAATTTCATCATGGAGAAGGTAGTTTTAGACATTCCGCTTCATATCGTGTCTAACACCCTTCCCCATGATAAAATCTCAGTAGCTTCTCATGGCATTAGTTAACCTGGGTACTTACTTTTTTAAGCTTAAAAGCTTCTTTTTCACAGTTAGTACACGCTATATACATATACACACAGTTATGAAACAGTTCTACCCCCAAAAAAAAACCAAAATAATGAACAATACATTTAAGCCTAAAATTCTGAACAAATATCACTCACCCCTAGCAACCACAGCAATGGTCTAGCAACACCTTAGCAACCACCTTTGATACCATGAGAACAGCTTAGCAGCAACCTAGCAACCACCTGGGATAACATAGCAATTACCTAACAACACTTTAGCAACCACCTAGAAGAACCTATCAATGGCCTAGCAACCACCTGGGACACCCAAGCAACCATAGCCTAGTAACACTTTAGCAACCACTTGGGATTGCATAGCACGAGCCTTTAACTTTTAAAGAGTTGTTATCTGGCTTTGTCAAGGAAACTTTCCCTTTCTAGTTAGAATCAGACTCTGGTTTTAAGGCACGTGGTATATGTTTTGAATACATCTTTAAAAGACCGTGAGTGCTTGTTTATTGACTATATTAAAATCAGTGCACAGCATTCAGCAAACATACAGACTCTAAAGAGGACCGACGCTCCTCCTAAAACCTGAGTAGACTGATAAATTAATGTGATGCAGAGCCGAAATACATAACTGAATACATGAAGGACAGTGTATTCAGTATTCAGCCCACACTACTTTTTCAGTATTTTGCCCAACCCTGTTGATCTCATCTACACATTTCATCATGTAATCTGTAGCTGCTCAAAAAATGGATAAACTATGTTGAGGATGGTTTATTCTCATGTGTATCTCTTTATCACCAGCTCTGGTGTTGTTCTGCAGTCTTAAAAAGGATGGTTCTTCATTTGTTCTTTGGTTCTATTTAGAAACATGTGTTCTACGTAGAACTATTTGCGTGATTAATGGTTCTTTGCACAATTAAGTGGTTCTTCAGGATGTTGGAGAATGTTTGTATGTGGTTCTACATACCATTTAACCTTTCTGAAAATGGGTAACCTTTATGACAATGGTTCTATATAGCACCACAAAGGCTTCTTCTATTGTTTCAAGCTTGAACCCTTTTTGTGCTATATAGAACCATATACAACACATTCTCCATCAATCTGAAGAACCATTTCAACATGCAAAGAACCATTTAAGCATGCAAACGGTTCTATATAGAACTCATGGTTATGAATAGAACCATGCCTTTACTAAAGAACCCTTAAAGAATCATTTTTTAAGAGTGTGAGCCGAGTCGAAGAGTTGACTTCATTGACTTCACAGGGAGGAGTCGACTCCTGAAAGCCCGGGCATCACTAGTTCACGAGTTCGGTCTGCTGTGCCGTTTAGGTGGAACCTCAGGGGCAGCCGGCCAGTGTTAGGGAGGGTTAAAGAGTCTATAAAGAGTTAACTTTGTCGTTTACTGAGGAGATCGCGGCCAGTCGGTCGAGGTTAGAGGGGATTAGAGAGTGTAAAGAGTTAAATTGGTCATTTTCTGAGAGCCGACCAAGACCCGGTCAGGGAGGGAGAGGGAGTAGACTCACAAAGAAAGAGTTAAAAGCGGTCGTCCAACACAGTTTGAGATGTATTTAAAGTTGGTGGACAACATCGAAGGACATCTGGTCTGAATAACCTACTTAAGTTAAATTATCGAAGTCGGGGCACTAGATAGAGAGAAGCAGCTGCTCATTTTTTACCCGCCGAATCGAAAAAACCAGCAGGAATTGAAAGAAGCGACACGTGGTGTTTGACAACTGAGAAGGCATAAAATGAGGTAAGTTACTGTATTATTTATGTACAGCAAGTACAAAAGATGTAAGAAGATACCATAAACATAAAAAGAGGATGGACTGAACAGTAATACGAGCAGGGTGGTTTATAAACGTATAAATGAACGTTTATAAAGTAGCCCGGTTATCTTCCTGTACTTATTACACACGTGGCACTGTAGTAATTTCCACACACATCAATCGTTGATTTAGTTACCACATTAGCCGCCTTTCAGCTTTGTTTTGTTCCTTCTCACTCATCTAATACAGCGTTATTTGACGGCTGAACCACGTTTTTAAAGACTGTATGTGACCTGTGGACATTTTTAAGTATGTAATTGGACTTGGGACCAAACTTTCTGAGGCTTTTCTTGTTCGCCAGCTTCTTTTTCATGTATCCTGTTCCACCTTAAATGTTGCAGCAGCTGGTTCTGGCGCCAGAATGTAACTGCTGCACCATTTAAGGTGGAACGGAAGAAATGTAACAAGAAAACTGGCGAATAGCGAGCCAACTTCAGCCTCGTCTTACTGGGCTGGGTTTAACAGCGTTGCTTGCCAGTTTGTGAAACAAAGGCCGTTTTCTTTCCCGAAAAACGCTCATGGTGTCTCGGTCGGAGGGAGTGAATTACCTCGTGTGTGAGCGAGTGTTTAGTCTACTATCAGTACTTTTCATGTCATTCACACTCCTTTGTCTCAGTGATGGGCGGAACTGATAAAATCCAACATCACGATATTTCCCAAAATATATGGTGTCACATATGAAGTATCGTGATACCTTTTGTGTTTGCATTAAAATGGCAATGGACCCATGAATGTTACTATGCTGTGCTAAAAGCATGTCTTACAAACCTTCTATAGCTTGTAGAGGTGGGCGATGTGGCAAAGAGTAAAATCACGATACATTTTTTTATGGTACACAATATTTTTTCTGATGATAAGTTAGAACAATTAGTACAATGTCTTAAAAATACCATCAAAAACTATGAATCCAATTACTTGTATTCAACATTTCACACACTGTGTTGCACTAAATCTACTTAAACAGGACTAATTATACCCTCTTTTTAGTCAAACATAGTTAGGAAGGGATTTTTAAGTACTGACGATATCCACCATATGCTCAGAAAAGCATACTGTGATGTAATTTATTGTGTTAATAATAAATATTGTCATATTGCCCAGCTTAAACAGCCTGCATTGACTAAAGATCTTTATATATTAAATGAAAATCAACACTAATGGTAGACAGGAATAGGCGATATATCAGCCAGTACTGGAGCTGAATGTGAGGTCAGAGCCATTGAGATTGAGCAGCTGGATACTCTTGACCCCCCCACTCATGTCTCAACTGTTCTGACCCTACACAGTTGGAGACTGACCACCCCCACTGTGCGCTCTGAGCTAGAAAGGGTGATTAGAGGTCGAGCACAAAGGGGTTGGAGAGTACAGAATCAGAAGGGGGTAGATCAGAAGTTATTGTTAGCAGTGGTTGTTGTCACTGACACGCTGCGCGCACACACACTTTCATACACTGTAAATTTGTAGACGTCCCTTCAGATTAGAGGGTTTAGCTACCTGTTGCTTGTATAGCCTCCGTAGAAAAGCACTGCCGATGGAATAGGACACTCTGGAGCAGCCACAAATGAGCCTAAGGTCACCATACCCAATGTCAGCTGTTGGCTAGAGCTGTACAAAGCCCCCCCAGCAGTGGGCTGTGGAGTGATGGAGCTCCATTTAGCACTTTTGGGATGAAATGAAGTGGAGTTTATGGTCCAGAACTAATAATCCAACATCGGTTCCTGACCTCATTAATGCTCTTGTGGCAATCACTCAGATCCTCACAAGTGTTAAAACATCTAGTGCAGGGGTCGGCAACACACAGCTCCGGAGGCGCATGTGGCTCTTTTACTACCCAGTTTCGGCGCCGCAGCAGAATTAGATTTTTAGGTAAAAATAAAATAATCCTCCTTTGCAGTAAAATAAAGCTCTGCTGAACGATTCTAACACAGTTTTAACAATAAACGGTCTTAAATACTGTAGTTAATGTAGCCTATATCTGCTAATTCACCTTTTAACCATTCAGGTTGGTGCACAGACTGCTGGGCACAGCAACACAGACAACAGTCTCGCCTAGCTAGTAAATGAAAAGGCAAAGAGAAAGTTTTAAGACGAATATTGATGATTTGGAGACAAATGGACTTATTTGCATTTATAATCACTCCAGCTGGTTTCCTGATACGTTTAGTCTGCAGCGAGAAACTGTCAAACACTAAAAAGTTGCGAAGCTAAAGTCAGTTTCTTGTTTGCCACCTTCATGTTTGAATTCTCCTGTTCCACCTTAAATCGTGCAGCAGTTACATTCTGACGCCTCAGGCACCATTCGAGGTGGAATGGGAAAATTCGAACAAGAAGCTGACGAATGCTGACTACAGCCTCATAAAAAATCAGATGTTGAGAAACATTTTACAAGAAACTAATTAACTTTTGAGGAAAAGTTTCCTGCCAGAGACGCGAGAAAAGCTTAAAGCAGAACAAAGTAAGTCTGCGTTTTCGTTTACATTATATTTTTAGCTTATAATAGCACATTAGCACATACTAAAACATTTACAGCCAAGATGGTAAAATGCACAAAAAAGTTGTGGCTCCCAAAGTGGTTTGATTGTTCTTGAAAGGACAAAACGGCTCTTCTTGGGTTGCTGACCCCTGCTCTAGTGTAAAGCCTTCACAGAAGAGTAGAGGCTGCCAAAGTGGACAAACTCGTTCCTAATACCTTTTGTTTGGGAAGAAGCAGGTGTCTGCAAACATTTAGATGGGTTGTGTCTACACTCCAACAGTTGGCAGAGTGGTGCTAGGTCATCAGAAAAGAGTTGTGAATCACTTCACTTTCACAAGGGAATCCACACCCTGACTTATTTACACTATTTAGAGTAGTCATACCTGCTTACGTTTGTTGGTATCATGCCCAGCTGTGTAATGCTTAACTATCAACACACTCAATAAAAAAGGGCGCTGCTACCAAACCTCACGTTTCCGTGCAAAATCACACCTTTTGTTTTAACAAGTAGGCTTGTCACTTTCATAAAATTTTAGCTGATGATTTACTGTCATAAAAATATTAGTGATTAACAATTCACTTGGCTCAAATAAAGAAACAAAACAAAAAATTAGACCTTTTTTGTTGCCGTACAACTCATGATGTATCTTAGTAGATGTGATTTCATGCAGGAAACATGCAGACAAAACTCAGTTCTTGGGTTCACCAGCATTACGTTAAATTTAAAACTCAGTAAATACGTGTCGGTTCAATTGTCATTTTGCATAGCTAATAAAATGGCTATACTTGCGCTGCAGACATTTCAACCCCTGGTGTATCGATGCCAATATTAATATTGGGAATAAGGCCGTAACCATGTTCATTTACTTGTACTCATAAAGATTTGCCGATGCCAACGTTCTGATACCACCTAGTACTGTGTGACGTAAGCTGAGTGTACTGAACAAACACTGATGGGAAGGCTCTGCTCAAACAGTGAGGTGTTACTGACTGGACACAAGTCGCCAGTCACTTTAAACATTAAGCCTTGGTATATTCATGCCAGACGTTAGCTAGCTAATGCACTTCATTTAAAATCAGCTTTTAATTTGAATGATTTAGCTGTATTTAAGATACATTGCTCTCATTTACATTAAAAACTACTTAATTCCAAGTAGGTTACTCAGTATGGTATTGGGCTTGGTATCGGCGAGTGCTAAAAAAACATGTACTTATACTCTGCATGAAAAAATTTAAGCATTTCTAGTTCCTATCATGGCCATTGTAGAGATAAATTGACTCTGTAAGTTTCTCAGGAATTAAGCCTTTCACATCTAATGACTTCTCACTGTTTGAATTTTGAAAAATATCTATTCTCTTTAACATATGATGAGTGAAAGTTAACAACTGTGGAAAACAATTGCAGTCAGCTCAAATGTGAACATGTGTTTATGTAATAATAGTGACAGGCTTTACAAGGGTTTACCATCAATGTCTTTTATGCAAATTTTGAAAATGTGCATTGAAAAAAATGCCTTTTTTATTTATGCTTGGATGTGATGGAAAAGTTGGTTTATTGATAAAGGAGCAATACAGAAAACGGTGATAGAAACAGATTTTTAAAATAAGAAGTGAAATATCGGGAACGAAAGTCATGTGCGGTGTAGTGAAACAGTGACTTCAGTCCTTATTAAATGGGCCGCTGGTGTCTCTAAACTGTTAGGGCTAAGGCCAGGTACGCTTAACAGAGGGCTGTCAAAACTGCTGTAAAGAAAGCTAATAAAGGTTTAAATCCCTCCTTTGTAGATGCCACACATGATGAGCGAGATCTTGCGTGCTATATGCCACAAGAGTCACATCATCTTCAGGAATTTGCACAAAGAAGTAGTTGATGGAAACACTGATTGATTGGCATTCATTTTACCAACTTTTTGGAAATTTGCTTATAATTTTCAAAAATGTTAGAATGTAAATTCTGCTACAGACACACGGTTCAAGCACTGTGCGCAGCCACAGACCTGTAATTGCCATCGGCCATAGCTGAGTCCAGAGGCACATAAGTGGAAGTTTTATGATCCACTTAAATGTGGAATGTTCTACTTTTTTTTTTACACAGAATCTGAAATTGAGAGGAAATGAAACGGGCTGTGCTGTACAGGGACAAGTGACTTTGTGTGTGCGGCACAGCGTATGCTAATAAGCAGAGTGAGTTACAATAGAAATCCCCTCCTAAGCTGGGCTGTTGAGGACAAAGCAGTCTAGTGGGGTGCGTCTAATCACATTAAACACAATGGTGCACACGCTCTGAAGAAGTGACCCCCACACCCTTCTCTTGACCTTACTTTAACTCTAGCAAAAGACGTTTTTTCTCTCTCTCTCCGATCATTTTCTCTAATATACCATCCAGATTTTTTTTTCTGGGTAAGGGTTGCTGTCGAAACAGCACCCCGAATCTCCAGAATGGTAACTTTACAGGAGAAGGCATCAGAACTTTTAACACTCAGAAAAAAAGTTTGCTACATTAACTTACATTAAGTAAGTTAATGTAGCAAACTTTTTTTCTGAGTAATTTTCCGTGTTCTTTTTATTGGCTCATTCATCATTAAATTTTTGCATGATGTAAATGGCATCTTTATTGAAAAAAAGGAAGACAAAAGAAATAAAGTTGAGATGCGAAGTTTTGTTCTGACAGCAATGACATTTGTACAGTTTCCCCAAAAAAGTATTTGGACACATTAAGTTAATTGTTTTTGAAACAAGATGCCAAACCAAGTGACATTATGTTTAAACAAAACTCTTCACATACTATCTTTTTTTTGCCAAAAAACTCTTTCAAAAGGCAGCTAATGTGTTTTAGATCAGGGGTTATCAACCTTTCCCCACCCATGGCCCACCTGTGTTTAAATACAAAGCATAGTGGCCCACAGGAAAAACTAAAATCAACTTAAAAATATATATATATATTTTTCTTTTCTTGAATGCTGACACTGAAAACCTGAAAATTAGGGCCTGAAAATATCAGATCGGCCTCGATCAAAAGTTAAAACGCAGTGAACTAAAGCAAAAGGTGTGATATGTTCACACTAAACACCCTGAGAAACCTCTCCATCTCTGGCTAGCTGTCTGCGTCGCAAGCTCGTGGCTGCATTGTCTGAAACTGATAATGTTTGATTGGACCACTGCTGCGGCTTTTTTATTTGCATGTCCCTATTAATATTTAATATAATATATTGGTTAAAACATTTGTAAAACGTTTAATTCTTGGATTTTGAATTATTAAGTTAATCATTTATGACTTACAGGAATGTTACCGGCGCACTACGAACTACTGCCTCCTTCTGAGTACAGGCCCGCGAACCGCTAGAGGGTGCTTTACGGCCAGACTTCTGCAGGTTTCCTGTATTACTGTATTACTGTAATGAGATTTTTTCCTGTACTTATGGGACATGCATGACTCCATGACCTCTGTGTGTGGGTGTGCATGTGTATTTTTATTTATTTACTTATTTTGGTGTGTAATATCAGGGGAAGGCTCTTATCCTGCCATGCAGGCCCAGTATTTGACCCGTGTGAAAAGGTCACAACAATGTCAGTGTCATTGGTACACACAGCTATACAGATACACAGTATCTGGGCCTGCTGTTTCATATGACATTTTATCCAGCTTGTTGTGAGTCAAACTGGATGGCAAGCCATCTGGAACAAAAAGATTGGAACTGGATATTTATAATTTTGTGCACCATAAATAGACATTGGAAAAAATTACACGGAGCTGAGAGATGACAGCTGTGTTCAGGTTTACTTATTAGCCTTGTGAACTCAAGTTTAGTGGCGCAAATAGAGCGAACTGAGTTTGTGTCTGTTTGTTTTGTTGAGCAACAGAAGAAGTGTCTGACGTGGGACAATGTGCCATGTAGTGGTTGTGGGAATTTTTACTTTTATGAAACAGCACTGTCTTGACTTGAGTGTAGGCAGCTGTAGCTGTTTATTTGACGTGCTTTGTAAAGACTGAGGAAAATTACAGGGCAGATTAAAATACCGACCATTCAGAAATGCTGCTGACATTGCATTTCAAGCAATTATACAGTTATTTGGATGCTTGTTTACATGCATAGTGAGTTTAAATCGGTGTCCTGAGGGAGAGAGGACCAGACAAAGGCACTTATTATTTCTTCTCTTTTGTAATCCTACGCATGGCGCACTTACTGACTTTTTATGATGTATCTTTCTCCTTTTCTCCTTCTCCCTGTTAGAGGGATGGCTCCTTCACTCACCCAAGCGTATAGGAGGAGATGGTGGATGGCCGGCACGGCGGTGCTGGAGAATCTGTGGTTTTCAGCTGTGTTGCTCGGTTGGGGATCTCTGCTCATCATGCTGAAAAACGAAGGCTTCTACTCGCACCTCTGCACAGGTATGTTGCCCTACAAGCCTGAAACCATGGTAATGGGTTATCATAGCAGCAGTGTTAGATGTCCTGCAGATTAAAATAAAACAAACAGTTTCAGAAAGTTTTTCAAATATACCTTTGGACAGACAGAGCTACTTATTTAACAGCTCAATGGAGACATGGAAACAAACACAGTCAATCTCAGCTGGAAAACCATGAAACAAGAGCCAGGAAACCTGAGATATCCAAAGTCATTAATAAACTATAAACTGATCCGTTCTCTCATTTGGCTCTCCTGCCTTTCTTTTTTACCCTCACTTCTCTCTCTCTCTTTCTCTCGCTCACTTTTTCTTTCTAAATTTCTTTGTTGTAGAAAATGAGACGGAAGTGACTCATGTTAGCCACACCAATGCATCACAGGGATGGCTGAGCTGTGTGGCCCAGGAAGAGATGCTTAACCTGGGCTTCACAATCGGTTCCTTCCTGCTCAGTGCTGCCACGCTGCCACTCGGCATCCTTATGGACCGATATGGCCCCAGGCCCCTGCGTCTCACTGGGAGGTACGCATATGCGCATACACACAACATGCACCAGGCAAGTGGAATGAAACAAGGAAATCTGCATACCATTAATTCTGTTTTTGCCCTGCTGAATCAGAATCAGAACTCTTTATTGCCAGATGTGATGTGCGTGCCAGGAGTGTGCTTTGGCAAGTGTCTTGAGAGCCCGCATGCAATTAAATACAAGGACATGGCTAATATTTGCATGAATAAAAGACATTCAAAAATGAGCTGCTGGGTGCCCAATATTTCCAGTAATGCAAACAAGCATTTCTAATACATGAGTGACTTGGATGGAAGTAGTGAGGACATGCCAGTAATAGCAGTGTTGAAATGGGTGAGGGTTGACTTAGAAGCTTTGAGCTTTAGCTCAAGACATCTGCTGAGACTTCCTGACAGTGTTGCAAATATTACAGTCCCACGGGAGATAGTCCACAGGAACTTTAATGGCCATCATGCAAGATGGGTCACCTTTGTCTTGTAGATAGATTCATTATTGTTAGAGATGAGGCCCACTGTGGTTGTGTCCTCTGCAGACTTCAGCAGCTTGACCGATTGGTCATGGGAACAGCAGTCTTTAGTGTACTGTAAGAATGGCGAGGGGGAAGTTACAAGATACAGCCGCCACTGGCGGCTGTGCTGATAAACCTTTCTGCAGCTGCCTAAAAAAAACCCTCTAACAAAATAAGCCCCAACACCAAGCATTGGCCCTGCCTTCCTTTACTTGGATAGGATGCCCTGCTGTTATTGTAATTGCATGGGCTGATGCATGTTGAGGGACTAGTGCTGGTCATTTACATTCATTTGAACCCACCCAAGTGAATAACACCACCACTCCACAAATACTCCAGCTAATCAGTTTAGCTCCTGTTTGCACTAGTTTACAGTACAGGTGCTTTCCCTCCGTAGATTAACTGACAGTTTAACCAAACCACACCCTTCCACACAACACACGCCATGTGCATGACTTTGCTGTAGTACATCATTGAACAGATAATAAAGTGCAGTAAGTAATAAGATGTCAGTATTCAAATACTGGTTAACCATTCAAGTTGCCAGTATTATTATTATTGTTTTGTTGCAGGAAATGTATTTTGTTATACTTTGCTACTCTAAAGCACAAGTGGCTGAACTGATATAACTAATCTAACCAATGTTCAGAAATAATGAAATGCATATCTCTGCAAATAATATATTGGCACCTTGTCCAATGAGGATAAAACACATTGTGTAGAAGGCAACCCTCATCAGTATCCAACGTGACACTTGTTGGCTCTGTTAGCTTAGTAGCTTATCTGAAGAGGCAGCCTCTGTTACTTATCCAACAAGAAAACCTAACAGTTTCCCTCAGTTTTTTTATAATTTAAAACTATTTCCATTGTGTTCCTCTGTGTGCTGCTATATTGTAAAGCTATACACCTAAAGCTATCAACCTACCCAGGCTTAAATTCATATTGTCTGAAGGTTTTTGTTTGTTTGTTTGTTTTTTGCATTGTGGTAAAGTGAATATCCATTCATGAACTCTTAGAGGTACCTGAGTATCAGAACTATTTGGAATGCACATCCTTGATTCTTGGGGTTCCATCAAATGCACTCTGGCAAGTTCACCAGTTGTCTTTCCAGTCATTACTGGCATTTCTGCCCCAACAACCCCCCCCCACCAGATGTGTAGAACCCAGGTGTCCTGTAGGCAAATTGTAAAGGGTCCACGAAGGGCTTTGGAACAGATACCAAATGTTCAGAGCTGTCCACAGTTGCAAATATCAGGGCTACAGGTTTGTGAATGTGGCACTTTGATGAACTATGCAATGGATATGTGTTTCAAAGTGCCAGAAATAAAAGGCCGCAAGGTCCAGCTGTGTTCCTGATGTTCTGTTTTTGGAAGAGCTCGTGAACTACTTCAGTTTTGACAAGAGAAAAGGGGAAGAGAGTGAAGAGGTAGTGTGGGACTGGAATGAACATAAGTGCAGATCAAAGAAAGGGAGGAGGAAGGGGAGCCCTGTTGAAACCACCACCTGAACTGCAGTCATAGTTGGGGGGTGGGAGAGGGACGCTAAGCTAAACGGCAGTAAAACCGGTTTAGCTGGTTGACCAAAGTGGGGGGATGGGATAGGGGGATGTTTCTGTGTGAATATGGTGAGACTTCACAGGGAGTCCCAGACAGCCATCAGGGGGTGGTTTTAGAAGTCTTGCTCCAGGCTTTAACTGTACTTGGTGTTTGCAACTTGGCGTTTGCAAGTTCCTGTTAGTTGCTTTGCAGAGCAGTGTATCTGTGTATTCCTAGAATGACTGGGACTGAGCATGTGTGTGTCTGGGAGGGTGTGACTGTGGGTGTGTGTTTGATATGGTTCTGTGTTTATCAGTGCACTACTACAGTCTTCAACTACTGCTTGTCTTGTGCCATTCACCATCTGTATTTTAATTGGCTACACCGTTTTGTGTATATTAATGAGGTGGGTGATGTGGCAAAAAGTATCACAATACTTCAAGAAATTTTCATGATATATCGCCAATTTTTTTTATATCTGATATGTTGGACCAGAAAAAACAACTGATTTGTATTCAAAGTTTCACATGCTGCAGTAAATCCAATTAAACAGGCCTAATGATGCTCTCTTTGTAATTAAACATGCAGTTGGTCAGTTTTCAGTAGAAGTACTGAAGATATCCATGATATGCTCAGATAAAACACATTGTAACACATTGAGATGTGATTTATCACAATATCAGTAAATATTGCCAAGCCCTGTATATAAACATGGCTCAGTTTCTATTATTTTCAAAGAAATATTGTGATTTATTTATTGAATTGAACGATTTGCTAGTCACACATCTACAGTACTATAGACTGTCTTGCAACATTTAAAAGAGGCCTATCTGGCATTATGTTCTTTGTTCTTTTATCTATAGTGGCCACTTGTGACTCACAAATACATACTATTTATAGCTTTTTAATTAATTGTGGAGAAAAACAATCACAGTTTGGGTTATTTATCCTGTCTTCCCCCTCTCTTTCTCTTAGTGCATGTTTTGCATTCTCCTGTGCGATGATGTCTATGTCTGCATATAATCCTGAAGGTGAGCCAAAGAGAATGCACACGAATGCATGAACTTACAGGGTTTTTGGCCCAAGTTATTGAGCTGCTTCTGATTCGTACATTACATACAATAATCGTTGGTATTACAAGGTATCTAATCACTCTCTTTGTCTTTCTCCCTCTTTCCAGTTCTCTCTGCCCTCATCTTTCTTGCTCTGTCGCTCAACGGTTTCGGCGGGATCTGTTTGACCTTCACTTCTCTCACGGTAAGAAACACGAAAGGAAGGTGGGTCACATGGGGTCATAGACTTGTTTTATTGTGCCGTTGTTATTTGCAGGCTAACGCGTATGCTTTGTCATGACAGGTATGAGGGGGTGTGTGTGTGCGTCAGTGTGTCCCTGTAAGGAGAAAGGGGGTGTATTAGGATAGCATGCAGTGGAAACTGTTTCTACCAATCACGGGTGCAAATTTCTACACGCCTTCTACCAGCCCTCTCACACACACCCTCCTTTGCCTAAGGCACAAAAGGACAAACACATAGTGCTGTAATGTTTTCACACACACTTAACACATTATGCACATCATACACTATCTTTTTTTTTAGTTGTTTACACAGTGCTGTGTGAAAGTCAGACACTGCCCTTCATTTAACTTCCAGTCAAAGTTATTCATTTTTCAGCATCAGAAGCAAAGAAGAAAAGTATTAAACAGAAATTTTAGTAGTGTGTCCACTTTTGCCTGTATTGCACCTTCCATTTGTTTCAGGAGCCTTTCTTTGGGTTTTTTCAAAGAAATCTGCGGGGATATTTTCCCACACCACCAAAGTTCAATCCAAATAATCCCAAACACATTCAGTGATGTAGAGGTCTGGACTCTGGAGTGGTCAGTCTGTTGTTCTGAGAACACCAGCAGCCAAATTCTCCTCTTTTTGTCTATTTCATTTTCTCAGTAAGGGCTTCTTGGCAGCTACAGATCCTCTAAGACCCATAGGGTTAAGTTATCTTTTCACAGTGTAAGGATGGACAGAAACACCTGTGGATGTTTTCAGATCTGAAGCAAGAGTGGAGTTTCATTTTCTTCTTTCTGTGAAAGATGAAAGCTTTAAGGACTGTTTGACTGATGAGGGCAGATTTGGTGGTCTGCCAGGTCTTGCATGGTTGTTGGTGGTTTTAGTTTACTCTGCACCTTTTAACCATTTCTTAAATCCCAGTTTTGGAAACTCCTGTTTTTATACGTAATTTTCCTTTTCCTTAATGCATGTGTATTATCTTATATCATGTCTACTGAGAAATATCTCATACCTTGTACTTGATGGTCACCATTAATGAAATAAATGAAGGGTGGGCTCTGACTTTCACACAGTACTGTATGTGCAGTGTGTGAATTGAGAGTCTGCCATGTAAAATAGTGGCTATATGTATAGACAGTTGACAGTTTATGTACATGTACACCTTGATTCTCATGCACACACACAGTCCTGTACGTGCGTGATAATTGGAAAAACACACGGCTCACATGCTGCACTGAACACGACTGACCCTTTTTGTCCAGTGACAGTGTGTCCTGTCCTTCTGAGAAGCACAACATAGCACATAACTCACACTCTCTCTCTCCTCCTTTTCTCTCTCTCTCTCTCTCTCCCTCTCTCTCTCTCTCTCTCTCTCTCTGTCTCTCTCTCTCTCTCTCTCTCTCGACGTATGGGTTATACCGGCATGGAGAGAACTGCATTATGTTGTTGTGTTGTTGAAGGGTATGACTTATGTGTGAGATGGTGTGGGTCAAGCTCTTCAACAACACAACAACATGGTGCAGCTCTCTCCATGCTGGTGCCAAAAAAAAAGAAAAAAATCGTCTAATTTCTCTTTGGGAACTGATGATGTGCTATCTTACATGGTTCTCCCTCATTCTTTATCATTCTCATGGTTCCTGTTACATTAAAAGCAAAGACTTTTTTTGGCTTGTGCCTATCCTTGGCCCTACCTATCCTTGAGTATAGATATGAATGATGGACTGAAGAGGATTTGCTTAGTTGTTGGACTGAGACCAGGAAGCGCCCTCTGTGACCTCTGTTGTGTCTGTTTGAGTGTGTATGGAGGAGACTGTATCAATGCTTAATGAGTGTCTGTGAGTGGAAAATGTCAGATCCTGTTCCGGGCAGGAACTACAATTAACATATTTGTGGTTTTTGTACGGTAACACGTACTGCCTTAAAACAAGTTCTTAAATAACATGACCTGGATTTTTTAGTTTTTGCCACCATGTTTGATGCGGTCATTGCAGGGATCCATCAATCAGTTTGGTCTTCAGCACATCAAACTCAACTTCATGCTTCACATGCTTAATGTAGTCGTGAAAGTTTAAAAAAGTGAATAGTAAATTTGAATTTTTAACGAGCAGTTTAGCTTCCTTGTAATATACTTTCTCACATTTAAGAACTGTGAGATGTCTGAACTCTATACTTCACTGGAGGACAGTGTAGAGTCTGCGTCGAGGTTCGAGAGAGCATAGAAAGACTACTGCAGCCTTCTAAATGCTGCCCCACACAAAATGAGATGCAGCATGCAGTGCAGCATAAAAAGCACAGAAAAGTGCCAATAAACGTCAAACTCACTGTACACTCTCATGTAGATTGTCAGGTATCACATTAAAGGTATCACGTTAGTTTACCATGTTTGGTGTCAGCCATTTAACTCTTCACATACTTACGTTTTTAAGCTAAAACATGCGAGATGAATTACAGTGTGAGTAGGCTAATAATGTTAGCTGAGGCAAAAACAGACCATTAGTATTTGTCTGTTAATCATTAAAACTGTAGATTGACTGTGTTTCTCAGTGTAAATTTTAGGCCACACCTACTGTGGAATTTCATGGTTTTATATAGTACAGTATAAGTAAAAGTGTTTAACAGCAAGTGTTAGCTTTAAGAGCTAACTCTGGGTTTAGGGGTGGGTGTTTTCCAAATAGTTTCAGATATTTTTATAATGCTGTATAAATTTGTATATCAGGTTTGACTGCAATGCCCATCACTGAAACACATGAGCTAATTGGCTGGCCCTTCTGTGCTCCTCTAGCTCTTAAATGAAGCAAATTTAGTTTATACTAATTAATTGATACATGGTATTTGACTTTTCTTGGCGTGTGATTAGTCTTTATTTTTTACATCATTTTTAGTTCTGATTAATTTAAGCCTATAAAGAAATAAAGACTATCCTGTTCAGGAAGCCTTTAAACAAGTGGTCTCCAGTGGTTCTTCAGAAGTCCTTGATTGACTGTGTCATATGCATTAGTGCTGGTTTAGGGGGCAGCATGTTAGATGCATGTTGGAACTAAACTCCGCAGGATCTCCTGGAGGAAGGTTGGTGACCCTTGCTTTGTTGTTTTGTAACAACTGCTTTAAATGATTTTAAGCACAAGCACAGCTGAGAGTTGAAGTAAATAAAAGCACTGCCTAACCTTGTAAATGTAGATCTGAGATGGGTCACATGATTACACATAATGAATTTGAGTGTGTGACAGAACTCACGTAGTACTGCCACGTGAGTTCTGTCACATTCTTGAACCTATGGATGTTCCACATCTGCATGTTTGCTTGAGTGACTGGAGGATGTCAGAATGTTCCTTTTCCATGAACTCTGTACCGGTATGTGAGTGGCTCTTTCCCCCGAGAGCAGGAAGAACCTGTTCACACCCTCATGCCGCTAGTTTGTTACCTTGTTGTCATTTGACACAGGCATCTGAAGCCTTTCCACGCTTGTGTGATTTCTGCAGAAGAAAACGGTGCCAGAAAGTTAACACTGCTCAGTTAAATTCACGTGGAAAAGCTTGAGGAAAAACGAACACCTTAAACTTTCTGCAAAACAGTCATTTGATCCTATATTTTGCACGTCAAAACTATGTATTTTGATATATATAGTTGGAAATGGTTATATATGGAACCATGACATGAATGCTTAAATTGCTCTTTGCAGTATGATGGTCAGTACTCTTCAACATCATCTTTGTGGTGTAGTTACTTTAAAGTAATATGTAAACATTCTTATACTTTCAGAACATGCTAATCACGCCCCACTCCTTACAGTGTATATATGGAAACTATGCTGCGAAAACAGCTTGTTATGAATGGATTATTTCTGTAATGTCATGCCAGGAACCAACATATTTACATATCCACCTAATCAGCCTACAGCAGTTTAACCTGCCCATTTACACTAAAGTTATTAGGAGTGGAGCACAATACTGGGCATCCAATCAGAACAGAGCTCATTTACATATATGATTCTTAAATGTACAATAATAAAAACAGCTTGTTTTATTTTAAGGGATAAGGAGAGGTTAAAAACGGTCATGTAAAAATGAATTAAGACCATTTCTGGTGCATAAAAACAAATGTTATAAATGGACCTCAAGGGGAAAAAATAAAATACAAACAAAATGTAGCATGTCGGCCCTTTTCACACATCTCTTAAATATTGTTCTATATAGCATGTAAAAGGGTTCTGCTACTTTTGCAGGTCAGTTTTGTTAAGAATGTGCTAAATGTGGACAACAGTTTTAACATTTGTGCTTTTTACTGTCCACTTTGCTGTAGCTGCCCAACATGTTTGGAAGTCTCAGTTCTACAGTGATGTCGCTGATGATTGGATCGTATGCGTCGTCTGCAGTCACTTTCCCTGGAGTTAAGGTATGAGGATATTAGGAGGACATTAGTACACACCATCATAGGCATCTATAAGGATCTGCTAAAGACCATCTCGCCCTTAATGCTCTCTAGTAATCTTACCACTATCTTTGAATCTAGTGTATATCTAACTTTTCATTAAATCATTCGGTAGTAGAAGTTTATTGTTTGTCAAAAAAGGGAGCATTCAAGGGAGAAACTCGATCTGTTACTATGCACTATTGGTATGTAAATGCATTGTCATGCTGCCAGAAACCAAACCCTGGCATACCCATTGAGATAAAACAGAAAGGAGAATGTGCTCTGACAAGCATTGGGAAACACGCTTAGTTTCCGCTACTGCAAAGCCTCGTAACTATTGCATCAGAAATGAAGATGATTAACATGGTTCATTCCAGGTGTATTGGGGCAGCATTTTGGATCTGATTTTAGACTCCAAACTTAATCCATAGAAGTGTAGAGTTAGTACACATATTTTGCTATAGAATTTTAATCTAAAGTAAAAATGTTACATAATTACATTCACGTTTAGTTTACTCTCTGTAGCAATATGTTCAGGCCAGCACTTCTGACATTTTTCCATTTCTTTCCGTGTTAAAAAATTACAGACATTGAAAAATATAAAGCATAGGTTTTCTTGCTGCATAACAGGATGCACAGTACCTTTTCTCAAATTCAGATTATAATAAAGAATCTCCACTTTTACTTACTAATGCAAATGTGCTATCCCACTTGTTTCAGTGAGAAATTATTCATATAAAATTAGAAAGTTTTTTATTGCCTGTGGCATGACTTAAGACTAAATGGATAAACCTGAGTGACTGCCCATGGCAAACAAGATAAATCTTAACATTGTAACACATTCTTTCTTTTTTTTTTTTTCTTTCTGTATGTCTCTCTTTCTGTAGCTGATATATGACGCTGGTGTGACGTTCACTGTGATCATGTGGGTTTGGGCTGGCCTTGCTGGTCTGGTCTTCCTTAACTGCTTCCTGAACTGGCCAGTGGAGTCCTTCCCCACACCAGAAGAGATGGAGGAGATGTCAGTGTAAACCCTTTTATTGTCTTGATTTTTGTGTTGCTGTTCAAGCACAGTCACCATAGTACGGCCAAGGCGACACTGAGAGTATAAACATGTGGTATTTTAGACATAATTTGCGTGAAGTCTTTTAACCCTTTTAATTTGGCACTATTTAAAAAATTCAGTTAAATTAAAAAGTGTTTAAACAACCTAAGCTAAATAATTGTTAAATTACAAAATACATTGTTGACAAGAAATATCAATCCTGCATTGTTTGGCCAAAAGTATGTGGACACCTGACCATCACACCTATTTGAGCTTGTTGGACATCCCATTCCAAAACCAGCCACCACTCTTCTGAGAAGGCTGTTAGGTCAAAAGAGTATTTGTGAGGTCAGGCACTAATGTTGGACAAGAAGGTGGCGACATGCTTTACACCACTTTTGCGTAGCACATAGTAACATAAGGCTTGAAGCAGCTCCTCGGCCATGAAAGCCAATTTGATGAAGCTCCCGATACATAGTTCTTGTGCTGACGTTGCTTCCAGACGCAGTTTGGAGGTCTGTAGTGAGTAAAGCAGCGCTGTGCTGTGCGCTTGGCGGCCCCACTCTGAGAGTTTTGGTCTATCACTTCATGGCTGAGCTGTTGTTGATTCTTCATTTCACAGTAATAGCATTTACAGTTGACTGGGCCGGATCTAGCAGGGCAGAACTTTTACAAACTGACTTGTGACACATTTAAAGTCACTGAGCTCTACAGTACGATCCATTCTAGTGCCAGTGTTTGTTTGTGGAGATTGCATGGCTGTGTGCTCGATTTTATACACCTGTGTGGCTAAAACACCTGAACTCAATAATTAAGAGCATATTCAAATACTTTGTTATAGTAAATGTAGCCATACAGTGTTTATTATGAATACCACCTTTATTACAGAAATGATTTTTTACTACAGAACTTCTATTCCTTTTAAAAACTCATTAAATCCAGAACTGTTAAAAATGGACATAAAGCATTTTGGAATAAAACTCTTATATATAGATCTCTTTTGGCCACTCTCTCTCACAGGCAGAAGATGCGTTCAGGTGACGACGCTCAAAAGCACACTCTGACCTCCACTGGAGAGAAAATAGAAGAGCAGGTGACCCACTCGACTGACAAACTGACTGAATCTACCCAGAACACACCACGTGAGTTCCCCACAGCAGCAGACCACTATGGCCCTAAATGAAAAAACGAAAACTTCATAGTCAAACAGACTTTTCTCTCAGATCTTAGTGGGAATATTTTGCCTTATAGATATTTTTTATTCCACAATGGCATCCTGTCTCTTTGTCAAACAACATTATAGCTGGTGTAAAAATGTTCAGATATTAAGAACATGAAAAAAGGAGTGATGTACATGCATCCCTTACTGATAATCACAGATGTGGTGTGGCTGTAGGTTGATATAGTTTAAGTTAGGTCTGTAGCTCACAGTATTCAGGAAGGAAGCAGGACCATGTAGGTCGGAAGGCCGTCGAGTTCATCTAATCAAAAGTAGTCTCTTCAGCGACTGAGACAATGACAAAACTGTTTAAAGTCAGCCTCATCTCTCTGTTTTATTTGGTATTTCTTGGGGGGACAAAAAAGCCAGACCTGGTGCTTAAACCAGGCTTAATAATGAATTCCAAACGTTATTGGGAACTTTTCATTTTCGGCTTGCTCCTTCGGGGTCACATATAACGGCCAACAGCATTCACGTAAAAAGTCAAATAAATGCAAAATCCCCATGGACACAGCAGCAGCTGAAAATTGATATGATTTTCTAAAATGACATTCTCGGTGGGGGCTGGACATTAGCTTGCCAAACTTTTTCCCAGAGCTTTTTCTTGCGAATTGATTCCAACACAATATATAATGCACCAAATGTGCATTCTGAGTAATTCTGATATTTGTGTATTCATAAGAGTTTATGAACAGATATTAAGTTAACTGCAGGGAAGGAAAAGAGAAGGATTTCAGCTGATATCATGGCATCATTGAAAATATGATAACCTATAACATAACCTAGGCTAAATGTGTGGTAAACTAGTGCATGGCTAAGGTTACTACACTTTCAAACCAGGCTGTATGCTTACTTTTTTAGGTGACAGCTGCACTGGTGCTAGCAGACTAAACAATTCAGCACCGCAAAATTATTAGTATCGTGTTTTAAAAATAAAGGATTTCCAAAACTAGACAAAGGAAAAACATGAGGGAAACTCGTCTTCTAACCAGTATGTTTACTCCTCGGTAGATGATGTGTCAACATTTTTTAACTAGTGTCCCAGCAAGTTAGCTTGTCAAAATTACATTGAAAACAGAGAAATGCTCTTTCATTGTTTGTGATTCCAACATGATGTTATTAAGCCATGTTTGTAGCGGTAAAGTAGCATAATATAAGTAGTCACAAACTTCACACTTTATAGCCCTTATAAATCATATAATTTGGACCGGTATCCAGCATTATTAGGTAATTTACCCACTTAAACACGCCTGATTACACTTATCTGTTAATTGCCAGGTTCAGTGGGTGTGTTTAAGTGGGGCAGCCTCCAAACTATACTGCACACCGGACCAGAGTCTAGTGCTTGTTCTAGTGCTTGCTTGTGCTAGCAGCAGAAGCCAATGTTGTCACTAAGGTTCGATATAGACATAATATAATATCTCTCTGAACTGAGTCTTTTTGTCCAGTGACAGTGAGTTCAATCATTCTGATGAACAAAACATCACACATAACTCTCTTTCTCTTTCCTGCTCTCCTTTTCAGATGCCATTCCTTTTAGACAATCTGTGTTTTCCCCAATTTTCCTGTGGAGTCTGGTTACCATGGGAATGACTCAGCTGCGCATCATCTTTTTCATGGGAGCCATGAACAAAATGTTGGAGTTCCTGGTCACACATGGCGACCCTCATTGTGAGTGTACACACACAAACACACACACATCAGCCTCAACAGCTGCCCGTATGCCAACAGACCCCTCCGTTTGTGTCTACATAAAAGCATCTATTGAACATCACTGCAGTCTGTTTCCTGTTGTGGTTTAATTGGCTTCAGTTGTTTTTTTTTGCACTTTTGCAGCCTCTGATGATCTGGTGACTGAAGCTGAAGAAAAAGGTGAGGGATGTGCTAAGTTAGAATCACTTTTGTGGGAAAGGAGAATAGTTTGAAATTTCTGTATGTACGTTTGTGATCTCCACTTGGACACTGACACTTTTTGACTACATAATATAGATGCAGCACATACAGTCATATGGAGAAGTTTGAATACCTCTGGTTAAATTACATGTTTTGGTGAATATGTTAACACATCCTCTACAGGGAAAACCCTTAAATATGGCATTTTTCTGCAGGTTTTAGTGCATGATTTCCATTTATTTGCTGACTTTAACATGTTGGAAAAAAATTAATCATAATGTATAAAATGTGCCAGAACCTTTGCACAAGCCACATTTTATGTTTTTTATCTAGTATGTTAAATTTAGCAAACAAACAGTAATTGTGCCTTACGCTGTGCAGAGGTGTGTTCTCTGTAGAGAATATGTTAACTTTATTTTCACTTAGAAAATCAACTAAATATGGAATTAGACCAGGGGTGCCCAGACTTTTGAATATGACTATATTCACGCCATTTTAAGGCATCAGTGTACGTGAACATTGCGTATGTGCGAGTACTGATTTGTATGTGTGCTTTCTGCAGTGAACTTCTACTCGTCCATCTTTGGCACACTTCAGCTCCTGTGTCTGGTCACCTGCCCCCTGATTGGCTACATCATGGACTGGAAAATGAAAGAGTGTGAGGAGGAGACGGCTCCTGCAAAGGGAGACCAACTGTGAGACATTTTACTGTTTACTATGAAGTTATAGAATTGAGTATAGACAAAAATCATACTGCTGTTACACTATGTTGCCTGTTTATTAGGTGCACTTCCTTGTAATTGCACTCACTGGCCATTTTATCAGAAACACTTACCTTACAGGTGCACTTATTGTACTTTGTAGGTTTACAGTTACTGACTGTAGCCCAGTTGTTGCTGCATAATTTTTCACCCTTTCACATTCTGCCTTGTCCATCAATGGAAAGAGACCACCGCAGGATGATCTTGCAGATCTTGTAGACTGTTCTCCTAACTGTAACAGTGATTTGTACTGTTTATTAAAATAAAATGCAATGTTGACATTCCTGATACACTCATACCAGCACCACACACGCTACCTTGCCACTACCATGTCATTATCATGGTTGTTGTGAGTGGTCCACCACATCAAATAATATCAAGTCAGTGGTGCTCCTAAGATGGTGGGTGCGGTCCAACTGTGTAAGGGTGAAATGTACATCTCATGGTTTTGTTATGTAAGAAATCTTCTGATTAATGCTTGTATATGCACTTTTAATAGCCCACATGCACTCTGTGTTTACTTTACTGTCTGTGTAGCACCATAGTAAGTGCTAAGGTTGATATGAAGTGTTGGAGATGTAAACATCAAACAAGCACCTCTTAATTCAGATACATAAAAAGGTGCTGAAAGATTTCACTGTCTTGTACAGGAGCAGTTCTGCAGGCACACCAAAGCGAGACCGAAAGATCCAGAAACTGACGAACGCCATGAGAGCCTTCACTTTCACCAACCTGTTGCTTGTCCTGTTTGGCATCACCTCACTCATCGACAGCCTACCTCTACAGGTAAAGAGACCCACCAGTAGCACACTTACAGCTAGACCATCAGCAGTCATCAGAACTGTGATCTGATTTATACTCCACTCAGTCCCAGTCTGTGAGAGGTCTGGAGTCATATTACAGAAACATCCTAACTCTGATTTAAATCTTAAAACTGTTTAGTCGCCATGGTAGTTTCACTTGGGACTGATTTACAACAGAAGCTATTGCAGAATAACAGATCTTAAGTTAATAATCTTATCCTAAGTCCAGACAAGAAAAGAGTGTTAAAAAAATCCTAAACACTGTCCTAACAACCCCGGTAGTGTCCTCACTTCTGTTTCAACTTTCTGATTTTGTAGTGTGACGGGCCGCATGATGAGTTCTCTCTAACTAATATAATGACATAGTATATTGTAAAATGGTGGTTTCACGTGTGAGATGTTTCCACTGCTCCCTCTCATTACACTTTTAGAAAAAAATGTTCAAAACTGTCACTGGGATGGTCTTAGTACCTTCAGTCAGGGAACATAACTGTACCATAATCTATTATAATTATATTTTCTAAGTTGTACTGACTCCACACAGCCCGTCTCGTCTCCAGGTTTTTTATTTTACTGTTCTGTTTTAAAACATTCGGTTCTGAAAAGTACAAATATGTACTTTTCACCTGGAAAAACTTATTTAAGGAACACAACTGGACCTTTTTTACCAATCTGAACTGTGCACTGAGTACATTCTCTCAGAAGAAGCCACAGTGCATCCAGCCAGAAAGAAAGCCTTGTGCATTATTTATATACTGATAGAAAACACGGTACCACACAGAAAGCCCATCTTCTACAGGCTGATGTATTGCACTGATATATCTCCAAAGTTTCTGAATGTATCGCAGGCGAATTGTCTGTTCATCGAGGATGAAACTGAAGACCACTGGTGCTCTAAACTTGCAGATTAGTCCTTGACCTTACTCTGAAAAATAGTCTAACATATTTTCATAAGGTCAGCGAGTCTTGTATCTTGACTTATTTGCCCTTTTGTAAAAGCTGATGCTGAAAGGATCTCCCAGCTGTGTTGCGTTTTGTCCTGAAAAAATAATTCAGTCTGTTTTGTCAGCAGTTTATTTTGAGACTGTTGGTTGTAAATGGCATTTTTTGCTTTTTAGAGGGCAAATAACATTGATTTAATACTTAAAGTTTTTAAAGTGTGGTTGGTCCCAGTAAATTCAGCTGTAAAGTGATTTCTGAGTTCTGTACAGTATCACAGGAACTGAGTGGGGCAAATTCAATTGGGTGTGGGCACCAAACTGAACGCATGAAGTTAATCCTGCCAGGTAACGCCTCTGCAGTTATTTTATTTGCTTTAAGAAAATGAATTGCTTCATATGTGAAATGTGCTGCCCTTTCAGCAGATTCTACTGCTGTGCTACTGTGCCCCCAGGCAAGACATTTGAATTAAGACTGGGGCAGGTATTGCTGAGCAAAACGATTATAAAAAAAAAATGAAATGTGCCCAAGGGTTTAACTGAGCAGAAATTCGATATCAGACTTTATCTGATCTGTAGTCTTGTATTCTATGACACTCACAGTACAAGTATGGGAGTCAAGTTTCTGTGGAGAGCTGTGGATTCTTTTTACAGCAGGGGGTTCTCACCCCTCCCCGTTCAGCCCTCATTGCTCGCTAGCGGCTCAACAACATCTCATCTCTTTGTCTAGATTTTGACGTTTATCTTGCACACCATGGTCAGAGGATTCATCCACTCCTGCTGTGGAGGACTGTATGCTGCTGTGTAAGTATCCAACACAGACACAGTCAGTTTAATGACTCAACTCAACATCTTATGTCATTTTGTGTAAAGTAGCCCCTCAGATATTTCCTGATGCGACATTTCAGAATGTTCATGTTATCATCCTAAGACTTCAGCCACTAGCGCTGTGCTGAAGCTGCAGTGGAAACTACAGTGAACCAAAAAAAGAATCTGAAATGAAAACTAGAAACTATAATAATCTGTCTCTTGCTGCCTCTCTCTCTCCAGCTACCCCTCTAACCACTTTGGCACTCTGACGGGGCTGCAGTCTATGATCAGTGCTGTGTTTGCTCTGCTGCAGCAGCCTCTGTTCATCGCAATGTTGGGACCTCTGAAAGGAGATGCCTACTGGGTAAGGCACACACACAATCACATAAAATGTTGTAATAATATAAAATGGAAAAAAGCAACATGTTGGAGAACCAAGTACATTGTTCTGTACAGTTTGGACACTGGCTGTATTAGGACTGGGTATTATACAAATGTTGAAACAAAAGTTATTATAATATAGAAATAGTTGGCAGAATTGTGATCACAATATTGCCAAAAATACAACCCCAATTCCACAAAAGTTGGGATGCTGTGTAAAATGTAAATAAATGTAAATAAAAACAGAATGCAATGATTTGCAAATCTCATAGACCCATATTTTATTCACAATAGAACATAGAACACATACAGATGTTGAAAGAGAGACATTTTACCATTTCATGAAAGATATATTCTCATTTAGAACTTGATGGCAACAATAGACCAATTGCTGGAGTTTTGGGAGAGGAATGTTGTCCCATTCTTGTCTTGTCTGATTTTTCGTTTCATGCTGCGCCAAATGTTTTCTATTGGTGAAAGGTCTGGACTGCAGGCAGGTCAATTCAGCACCCAGGCTCTTCTTCAGCAAAGCCATGCTGTTGTGATGGATGCAGTATGTGGTTTAGCATTGTCTTGCTGAAATATACAAGGCCTTCCCTGAAAGAGACGCTGTCTGGATGGGAAAAAAGAATTTCAGATTTTGATTCATCTGACCACAGAACAGTTTTCCATTTTGCCTCAGTCCATTTTAAATGAGCTTTGGCCCAGAGAAGATGGCAGCGTTTCTGGATCGTGTTGAACATAACACATGCCTCTCTGAAATGCTCTTTTTATACCCAGTCATGTTAGTTGCTTACTTTTCCAGCCTTTGTTGCCCCGTCCAAATTTTTTTGAGATGCATCGCTACCATCAAGTTCTAAATGAGTTAATGTGTTTCATGAAATGGTAAAATGTCTCACATTCAACATCTGATATGTGTTCTGTGTTCTATTGTGAATAAAATATGGGTCTGTGAGATTTGCAAATCATTACATTCTGTTTATATTTACATTTATTTACAATTTACACACCGTCCCAACTTCTTTGGAATTGGGGTTGGGTATAACCAAGAGGTCTTGATTGCGTGATCTAGCTCATAGTCTTCATGCCCACTGAACATTTTGTTAGAGTTGCAGAATGTTTAGGCCAAAGCTCCCCTCTAAACCCTCATGGTGTTTTGCAAGAACTGGATTTGTATGCCACTTTTTAGGTTCTCATCTGGAAACAATTCTGAGTTCTGAGACAGAAATGTACATCTGTTAATGTGAACGGTTAAACCATAGGATATTCTGAAGGATAATTGATTTTGTTTATTTTTATTATTAGACAAAACAACTTTTTTGTAGAGATTTTTTTTGTTTAAAATTTAAAACAGTTGAACAATACATTTATCTTCTCCATCAATCAGATCAATGTAGGGCTCCTCATCTTCTCATTGGCTGGCTTCCTGTTGCCCGGATACCTGCTCTATCATCGCAAACACCTGATGCAGGAGAGGGCAGCACAAGACAAGGCGACTGGACAGACTGCTGCAGAGAGTCAAGCTCTCAACCAAATCGATGCTAACGGCATTAATCACCACAGCAATGGTCATGTCCCCCAGGAGGCCTAGATTCAAAGAAGAAAGCTCATAGGTCTTTGAGGGGAACCATTCAATTTTAATTCATTTTCCACAATAACTGAAAAACAGCTCCACACATGGCAACTCAGCTGTTAGTCAGGACCTTATGCGCCTTGTTAGTAGCTTCCTATGTTGGTGCTGAATTTGTTTCATTGAAGCCATGCAATTTCATACCTGGACTTAGAGACGTTACACTTTTTATGCAAGAACTTGAACACTGTCCCTTTTACTTTTTGCGAGGTTTCAGTAGGAGTTGTAGTTGTTGTGTAATGCTATGATAACTTTTTTAAAGTTTATATTTATACTTTTTTAAGTATTGGCTGAAACTGATATATTCCCCTTTCCCTAATGCAGTGTTTTTCACCTCCAGGGCTGCACAGCGTCATATTTTCTCTGCAGCTTACACCGAGTTACGTCTGTGGTCAGTAATAAAGTAATAATAATCACAGTAGTAACCGTCACTACTGGAGCTGAATCCAATGTGTTGAAAGAAAAAAAGTAAAAAAAAAAAAAACCATAAAACACATAAACTGTGCAGTGCAAAAGTTTGGGCACGCCTGATCAAAATGTGTTTTGTTGATTTTCTAAATGAAAATAAGTTCTCGTTTACAGAGAACACAGTTCTGCATATTCAATGCATCACCATTTATTTGCTGAATTTAACATGGAGAAATAAATTAAACATAAAATATGGCCCGTGCAAAAGTTCTGGCACAGTTTATATTTTATGTTTTATTTTTTCCCAATATGTTAAACTAAGCAAAGAACAGTGTCATATTTAAGTGTGTTCCCTGTTGAGGATGTTAACTTATTTTAAACTAACAAAACTTTTGACTAGGGGTGTCCAAACTTTTGTGTACGACTGTATGTCCTAACACACACACACATAAGCTCAAGGTAACTTCACTTGACTGTAGACAAGCTACCTCAGTCATTGTCTCTGTCACACTGACCTGTGGTCATTTGGGCAGTTTGTGACCTGTGTTTGTTTTCATTCACTCAAGAGTGTGTGTCGATACATCACAATTTGTTTTTGTCTTTTTTTGTCCATTTTATCTTGAAAAATTAATGAGACCATCAATGCAAACATTTCAGTAATACCAAAGACACTGATGAATGATATATATATATTCATGTATTTTAAAATGTATATGCAAATACCCAAAGCAGCCTTGTTAAAAGACTCTTTACCAGTGAACAGTAGTCATGAACCTTTGTGTGCTGTATTTTCTCTTGTACTTTTTACTTGCTTAGCCATTGAAAGGGAAATTTTCCATTTTTATCTCTGCTATTGTATTATTTTGTTATTCTAACATATTTGAGCTTGAAACTTGTGCTGCTCTGTAAAAAGCATTGGCTATATTTACTCATTCTGTTTGCTTAACTCGCTTGTAATGCTTTCATCATGCTAGCAGTGGTCAGGGGTTGAAATGACCTGTAGTGTCACAGAAAGACACATGAACCATTGAGAGCACTATGTTGTTACAGCCAAACTGCAGTCTGCTTTCTGTTACTTTTCCGTGTTTGTGTGGAACCAGTGCCTTGCTTGAATGTCTGCTTTTATATCACTGAATGTACGTGAGAGCGTATGGGAAGCAACCAAAGTTAACGTCGCCTTGCTGTGGGCAGGTGACAAAGCCATGTGAGAAATGTTGTTTAAGAGGATGTGATATAAATTTCCAAATAAAAACATGCACAAAGTATAACATTCCTCTCAATGTGCTGATCATTACTTGAAGATCTCTGTCAGAACTAATAGGAACACAGGAGTGTTGTAGATGATAACACTGTTTTAATTATTCCTTGTAAATATTTGATATTTGTGGTGAAAAGCACAGTTCTGTAGGTTTTAAGGTTCAGTGGTTTTTCTTTGTACCGAGTGCAGTGCAGCCATTATTTTTCTAATTAAGACATTTTAAGTTGTTTGCAGTTCAAGCTGGCAAGTTCCAACGGTGGCATAGCCAAGTATACACAAAATGAAGGCCTTGATATAAAGGAAGGTTCAACCTTCGTACAGAAACATTTTGTTTACATATTCTGTAGGCTTCATTTTATGCAAATACAATTTTTAGTCAAATGTGTTTATATATTGTAATGTGCATAAAGAAGCATATTAAAAAGGAAAATGCACATAATAGTAGTAGCATGTTGTCAGATTAAAAAATTATTAGGAAAGATGAGTATTTACATTGACACTTCAGTAACATCATTAATAATAGGTAATAATTCTAATAATAACAACAACTTGTGTGAAAAAACCCTGTCCTCAAAAAATACCTTTATTCATGTGTAACAATAAAAAAAAATTAATAAAACTAATGGATTTCAGTAACTGGGCAATTTGTACATATTAAGTAGGTCCCTCCACACATTCTGAGCTACTTGATAAATAAAAACCTTGCTTTCTATCATTTACTGCCGTCTTTTTAGGGAATGCTCAAGAAGTGGTCAAGAAAAGATCTGCAAAAAATTCCATTAGGATGTACAAACTGGAATGCCCAGTGGAAAAAAGGACGAGGTATAATTTTAGAGGGTTTTAAACATGCAAAACTTAAACCTTGAAGGAAAGGTTTCACACTTTTTCATTGCAGTTCTGCATATTGTCTATAAGACTCACATTCTGTCAGTCCGATATTCTATCATGTTTATGACAAGCTCTAGTCCAGCTGTGAACCATTTTTCTGTTTGAACCACTTCATTTGATTCATTAATTTACTTCTATTTGGGGAGAAAAGGGATGCAAGCAAACTAGTGGGCTTATTCAAAATAGAAGGCCTCCCTCAACCTCAACACAATCTAAAACAGACTCCTCGTTATCTGCAATAATACTCTGTCCAACACTGCCCTCTAGTGTTTGCTCTTTGCTGCTGCATTCACTGTTGACATTTGGTTTCTCTCCAAGCACAGACAGGCTGAGCTTTACAATAACAAAATTTATTTGAGTCATTCTGAATGATGAAGAGAAAATAGAGGTGGAAATAGAACTGATCTGTAACAACCAGATTCAATCAATATCAGCCACAAAGCACATGCGCACACTCACCCACACACACACCCACACACACACACACAAACACACAAAACTGTCTCTATCTATCTCAGGCTGTTGCTGTTGGGTTGAGAACCAGTAATACCAGGATGATCAGGACTGTGTCGATTCTGTGAGAGAGAGAGGGAGAAACAGAGTGAGAGGAAAAGAAAGGATATTTGTATTAGTACCACAGTCCCTTATCACAGCAGCTTCAGGTCACACAGTAGTTACATCTAAAGAACAGCTGGCTGAAATTCAAATAACATTATGACTGTGAATCTGTTACAGGCATGAACCAAATGCCACTACTGTAGTTTACAGCCATTATGTTATTCATGACAACACACAAGTATTTTAGAGTTCTACTGCTTTCATATAACTGCTCTGCAAAATAAAAAAAAGCAAAAAAGCCCCCAGCATTATCTCAAATGTGCTGTAATAGTGGCAATTTTTACCGAAAAAAGTAACCCTTTGTGTTACAGATAGAGCCACAGAACTGCCACAGCATCAGGTTCAGTTCAGCTTTTCATATTTGCCAGATTAACTTGAATGTGGTTTTGTTCCAATCAGTCTGGAATGCATTTCACAGCCCATCTTGTTTGACCGAACTGTATTTGTTTCATTTCTGGCTAATTCCAGTTTATTTAGCTGTTCTGTCACAGTTACCGACTGAAAAGCCATGACAGGTTTAGGTTTAGTCCTGCTGTCATACGTCTTCAGAATGTGACCAAACGTGCTGTAGGTCAAATATTATCTGTAGAAGTTATCTAATGTATTCATTTTCTGTTTTGTATGTGTTAAAGCAGAAACCTAGTATCGGTTTGCTGTAGCATAAAGTGACTTGTTACTTAGCAACCAGTGCTCAGCACAATATAGTTATTGTGAAAAAAGCTATGGTTGTTGTGTAACTACTCACTTTAAGCTGTAGCTAATAGTTACTAAGTTTCTACTTCAGCACATGCAAAACCGCAATTACAGAACGCTTCTCAACCAATGAGATTGGCCCATCAGAACTAACTGTTGTATAGCTATAATTAATATTTCACCATCAAGATCTCATTGCCTAATATAAAACAGTTCACAGATTTGTTTTAATAAACAGACAACAACACCTGATATCTATCTTATCATTTCTTTGGAAACTAATCTGGTTTTACCCGATGTAAATTTTTTATTTTTTTAGGATGTCAGTAAGGTTGTGTTAGGCAATATGGCCTAGGCTGAAATTACAATATTTCCTGAGGCTTCAAAACTAACAAACAATCTTAAGAATTACATATAGTAAACACTGAAATATAATATTAATCACTGGATAAACAGTGAAGAAATTTCATAGCAGAACACTGTAGCTTTCGCAAAATTAGCTGATACTGTTCAAAGTTTTTTCATACTATAAAATTAACTTTCACTAGAAGCTTTATAAGCACTATAAACCTTTACATTTAAAAGTTTTGGTCTAATAGTTGTTAAATTCAAAGTTTTTTTCATCCAGCTGTAAAAGGTATAATGTGGATGATCTAATAAGGCTAAACAGGCCAATATATGTAATACAGACTATATATCTATGTACACTGATCAGCAATAACATTAAATTACCTCCTTGTTTCTACACCTTCTGTCCATTTTATCAGCTCCACTTACTATATAGGTGCACTTTGTCGTTCTACAATTACAGACTGTAGTCCATCTGTTTCTCTGCATACTTTGTTTCTCCCTTTTCACCCTGTTCTTCAGTGGTCACAACCCCCACAGGACCACCACAGAGCAGGTATTACTTAGGTGGCGGATCACCGCAGTGACACTGACGTGGTGGTGGCCTGTTAGTGTGTGTTGCGCTGGTGTAAGTGGATCAGACACAGCAGTGCTGCTGGAGTTTTTAAACACTGTGTCCACTCACTGTCCACTCTGTTAGACACTCCTACCTTGTCAGTCCACCTTGTAGATGTAAAGTCAGAGATGATAGCTCATCTGCTGCTGCACAGTTTGTGTTGGTCATCCTCTAGTCCTTCATCAGTGGTCACAGGATGCTGTTGGCTGGATTTTTTTTGGTTGGTGAACTATTCTCAGTCCAGCAGTGACACTGAGGTGCTTAAAAACTCCAGCAGCACTGCTGTGTCTGATCCACTCAGACCAGCGCAACACACACTAACACAACATCACCATGTCAGTGTTACTGCAGTGCTAAGAATGATCCACCACCCAAATACTACCTGGTCTGCGATGGTCCTGACCATTGAAGAACAGGGTGAAAGTGGGGTAACAAAGTACGTAGAGAAACAGATGGACTACAGTCTGTAATTGCAGAACCACAACTACATAGTAAGTGGAGCTGATAAAATGGACAATGAGCGTAGAAACAAGGAGATGGTTTTAATGTTATGTCTGATTGGTGTATAAACACACATATACACATAGTAATAGTAATAGTACTGTGCAAAAGTCTTGTGTAAAACCATTTAATTCAGCAGAAAATGTTCTTTTGATTGTAAGAACACCATACATCAGTAGCATAAATGCAAATAATGGTAAACATGATAAAAGGTAACAAAAAAAATCTTACTTTTTGGTCTCTTATGACCTAAATAACAAAGTTTGGTTCAAGATGTCTTTTGGACATCCCCAGCCACCACAGAGGTTTGTGAAATGCCACTACCAACACAGTTGATTAAACTTACTGTATTAATGTTGTTTGTATTAATTCTAATTCTTCTAATATTAGTGTTATTCTGCACAAATAAATACTCACTGCTCAAATTACTATCTTCTTCATACTAGCTGTGCCAGGTGCCTAAAACTCTTGTACAGTAATATGCGTACATGTGGGTAAAATTCGAGAATACCAGCTGTTGTTTACAATGTGTGAAAATTTCATGATAAGCAGACCAACAGAAATGCTCCAAAATTATTTGGAATAAATCCTAATTGCATTACCTGACATTTAAAGTTATGATATGCAGATATATGTGCTTATATAATTATAGTATAAATACATATATTTGTTTATTGCCCTTTTATTTTTTACAGACATGCCAGTTCCACCTCAAACTGCCTCTAAGTTTAGCTGAGTCACTCCCCTCACCTTTTTCTTCTTCTTGTCCTTCTTTTTCTTCTTGCGCTCAGGGTCATCATCCCTCTTTTTCTTCTTCTTCTTGGGGTCAATGTCTGACGGCGTCTCTGCTCATAGAATATCACGAATGTTAGCCTGTGTGTATGCTTGTTAAACTCACAACATGACTGTACAATGGCTAAGCATGTAATTATTTGTGTGCTACCTGGAGGTATGGGGTCCTGAGGTCGATGATGTCTGTGTTTATGTTTGCTCTTCTTCTTTGGAGGCTGGATGTGCATGAGTCTGTACTGCTCTGGAAGCTAGCAGACACACAGGGATATTCAATACAGGTTCCTCTATTGACATTTGCAAATCACTCATCAGAGATACTAGAGAAATGCAGGACACAAACCACCACACTTCTCTTTGTTTACTCTGCTCAGCTTAGTTGTAACACTGTTGTAATTTGGCCTGGCCAGCTTTCACTGTAAACTGTTTACATGCTTTGAAATGGTGCTATATTACAGCCACTGAGAGGATGATAAAAACAATACAGATGTGAATTCTGTGACCCATACATACAGTATAACAGTTAAAGAACACTAATGATGCAGAAGTTAGTTTTATGGCACAAAAAACAGTCTTCAGAGTAAATCTCAAAAAATATGTCTAACTGCTGTTAAAATCCACAGGTGAGGTTACTATGGAAATAAAAAAGCACACTGTACTGGAACCTGTTCAGCCACAAAATAAATAAATAAATAAATAAACAAACATTATATTAGTTTGTGCCCTGCTCACTTATACAGGTACACTTTTTGAGCATTTAAAAGCAAGAAGCTTCAGAAGTGAGACATAAAACAATTTGAAGCCATTTGTCTTGCAGCATGGATTAAGTGTATGCGTACCGGTCCAGTGTGTAGTCTGAAGCCAGTCAGTAGCGCTCCGGTCAGGGGGCTAAAGGAGTTTCCACAGACTGGAGGCTTCTCTATTAGAGAGCGAAGAGAACTGCCATCCTGAACGCCTGGGCAATCTATCATACCTGAACAAAGAAAATCAGAAGTTATACAATTAATATCGACTTTGACTTGTGTTATAATATCACTTTGATGTGTACATCATAAGGCTTTTCAGTATCAGCCAGTCCATGTATTTGTTTTGTTCTATACTTCCAAATGTATTCAGACCTCCCTTCTAATTTGTAATTTCAGCTACTTTTAGGGTCCCTCTTTGCTGACAGGTGTTGGCTGGAGGGCATAAAGCCCCCCCCAGTACTGAGTAATGGAGTAATGGAGGTCTATCCAGACCTTCCCTGCTAGAAACAGCAACACAAACCAGCATAGCTGCTCACTGGCAAAACCAGAATATTCTGTGTTTCAGATGCTGGTACGCTGGTCATCCTCCATTACTATGCTGGGTGACCAGCTGAACCAACACCTTAGCTGTTACTTTTTCATCAAGATTGGGATGAGCTGTGGGCTTTGTGATCCACAACTAATCAACCAACATCAGTAACAATCAAATCCTCACAACAATGTTCTAACATTAGATTAGACATAAGATTAAAGTCCCTATTAATACTCTTCATTTCAAAAGAAACACTGGAAGAGCGAGTATTCACTAACTTTTGGACACATCAGGTATCTCCTAACACACCCAAGCCAGGTGATCAGAACTCTTTAAGTGTGTTTGGAGCTTGCAAAGAATATACACTGATTGGCCATAACATTAAAACCACTTCCTTTTTACTACAGTTATTGTCCACTTACCATGCAGGTGCACATTAAAGTTCTACTATCTGTTTCCCTTTTACTCAGGACCCTCACAGAGCAGGTATCATTTGGGTGGTGGATCATTCTCAGCACTGCAGTAACACTGACGTGGTGGTGGTGCGTGAGTGTGTTGTGCTGGTATGAGTGGATCAGACACAGCAGTGCTGCCGAAGTTTTTAAACACCTCAGTGTCACTGCTGGACTGAGAATATTCCACCAACCAAGAATATCCAGCCAACAGCGTCCTGTGGGCAGCGTCCTGTGACCACTGATGAAGGACTAGAGGATGACCAACACAAACTGTGCAGCAACAGATGAGTTACTGTCTCTAACTTCAAATCTACAAGGTAGTAGAGTGGACAGCGAGTGGACACAGTGTTTAAAAACCCCAGCAGCACTGCTGTGTCTGATCCACTCGTACCAGCGCAACACACACTAACACGTCAGTGTCACTGCAGTGCTGAGAATGATCCACCACCCAAATAGTACCTGCTCTGTGTCTGTACTTGTAGAACTACAAAGTGCTCCTACATGGTAAGTGGAGCTCATAAAATGAACACGGAGTGTAGATGCAAGGACGTGGTTTTAATGTTATGGCTGATCGGTGTAAATGTGGGCTGTCTTAATAAACAGGCATCCCTTTAACACCAGCTTCACATCCCAGTTACCCACTTCACCAGTTTTAGTTACCTGGTAATTCTGGTAGGAAGTTGCTCAGCTTCTCCTTCACCTTCTTGCCGCAGAATTTATTGTAAGCATGTTCCAGATTGTAGTGCGTTATCAAGTTTGTGTTTCCTGTTAAATCGTTTCCAGCTGAGAAACAAACGCAAACAAAAGTAATGAAAGTTAATGGACACACAGTCCAGCCACGGCTTGCACTGTTAACTTGGCTAGGTACTGAATACGAAAGCTCTGTTTATTAAAAACGTATTGACGAAGTTGAAGTCAGCTTCTTGTTCAGATTTTTCCGTTCCACCTTAAATGGAACTGAAGTTACGTCCTGGCGTCCCGGGTGCCACAATATTACTCCTGCACTATTTAAGGTGGAACGGGAAAATTCGAACAAGAAGCTGACTAAAAAGAAGCCTCGTTCAAGTAGTGAGCATCTGTGAGTTTCCCAGATTTACTGTCACAAGACGAATATATTATTTACCAGGCAGTTCTCGCAATAAATAGAAAGGCTCGTTCATGACTCCCGGCTTCCGAGCTGCAGGCCCTTCATCCCCGGGCTGTGGTGGGATCTGAGGCGGCACTGGAGCTTGAGTCTGCGGGTGCGGAGGCGGTGGTTTTCCCGGCCCGAAGCCCAGAGCGGCCGGGCCTGGAGGACCCTGAGCCTCACTTTGACCAAAGAGAGTAGAAAATATTTCCGTCATGACTAAAATAAAAAGGGTACAAAATACTTATCCGAACAATAAATATAAACGTGAGAGCTCCTTCAGTACTGGTTGTATCAACCGCTCGGTTGCTCACTGCACATTATCAACACAAGGCGGTGACGTAATAAAGTTAATAGAGGCGCACTTAGAATCCATTCGTATGTATAGAGACCTTCCACTGTTTGTGTTCTGACTCTAAAAACTACATAAATGTTTTTGTCGCTCTCCTAAAAATCCAGGCTGTTTCTGAAATAATCCAATAGAACTGAAATAAAGTTTGCAGACTGTTCTAGAAGTAATCAATTAGTTGGACGATATGGCAAAAATAATTAACAATGCTTAAAAAAAAAAATCATATTTTTTTGTTCAGAACTCTGATCCGTTGGAAGAGAAAAAAAAATCAGTAGTGCTACATCTTAAAATATACTGTCAAAAACTGTGAACAATTTTTATTTTGCATATTGTGTTGCCGTAAATCCAGTTAAACAGGACTCATTTTTCTTTATAATGAAGTTGGTCAATGTTTTTACAAGTACTGACAATATCCATGCTATGTTCATAAAAGCATATTGTATTGTATTGTATTCTGACATAATTTATCATGATAACGATATATATTGTCATACTGCGCAGCCCTATGATCAACAATCTTAAAGTTGTTTTAAAAGATCAACAAAAAAAAAAGGAGACAAAGTACAGAGACAAAACAGCAAGGTAATATTTAATTGAACACATAACAGTAAACAGTATAAAACAGAAAAAGTTTTATTAAAAAAATTATTAATAAAATGGAAGGTTTAACTATTTAAAAGTTGCTTTAGTCCACAGATCAAAGAGACTCAAAATTTTCAGATGGACAAAGTGACAGGACGAACGATTCCAAATCAGCAACAGATGCCTGCAGAGAAAAAAAGTATAAAAGTGGGGTAAGAATTAGGACCCATTCATTATAACCTTTGTCTGACCATTCATACTCATTCCCCTGTTCCCCAGCTCCACATATACACAAAAACTCTAAACTTATTAATCATTTTGTCATTTCATTTTGATTTTGATTCAGCTACATGGAATATTTTGGAACCACTGTTGTGAACATGCTTGCTTGTGGTGCCGCTGCAGTATTCTTACTTAAAGTCTAGGAAAACTCTCTTCTGATGATGTGTCTTGAAGGTGGGAGGAGCTTTAGTCCAGATAAATGAAGGTAAGCTATTCTGGTTTTAGGCCGGAATGCCCCTTTAACAATACGTTAACACTGTGATCTCTCTCTAACCTTCCACTCGTCCACTGCTGCAGCGATGCGCTGCTCGGTGTGTGCGACAGCCTCTCGGCCGGCCAGCACTTTGTCAGCCAGGGCTGCGTTCTCTTTCTGCAGTTTCCTCAGCTCTCTGCGCATGTACTCCTCCTGCCCCTGATGATACGGTATCAACACACTACACACATCCTTTTCAGGAATGCCACTGGGCCGCCTGTAGAACACATGTAGAGGTTAAAACTTAGAGACACTGTTAGGGTTAGAGTAACCCTAATCTAGGCAGACAGTGTATGTATGTTTTGCAGGTTTCAAACACACAATGACATAAATCAGCCAGGTGATAATTTACTGTTTTCACTATGATTGCAGTACCGAGTTCGATACCGATTCATGAATGATACTTTTCTATACCGTCTTTGAGGTACAAACCGAAAAGCAGGTGTGGCAAAAACCAGAAACTAGTGTGAGGTGCTGGAAGTGGGTGTATGTACAGATCACAACAGACTGATTAGGAATCGGAGAGTAATTTGGAGAGCCAATCACCAGTCTAGATTTTAGAACAAACATTATAGGCTCACTGATTCTAAGACTGACTACTTCAGTACTGAAACCTGTAAGCGAATGACATGCGGTTTTGACAGTCAGTAGTATTTAATTAATTGGAGCATTTGGACCTGACATGACTTGGTTTAATTTCTTAAAATTACACCAAAGGGAACCTTACATTGTATTATACACACCCACACTAATACCATTTATTTAGTTCTCATGTATTTTGAACTGTATTTTGAAAGCTACCTCATGCACCCAGAAACAAAAGTGAAAAACCAGTATCACTGGGTAACATCACTATGGATACATAATGGTAAAGACGATGTATCGCCTAGCACAATTAAATCTTATTATTGTTTCCCAGTCCTTCCAGTCGATAACCACATCAACACCTGAGACGTCTGTAACATGTTGTGAAGCCTAAAGGAGGATCTAGACTGATTTCTGTTCATACCAGGCCGGCTTAGTTGTATCTTTAGCCAGCTCCTCCAGTTTGTCCAATTCCTCCAACTTCATCTCCAGGTTCCCCTCTTCAATCACATTGCTTATGTCTTCCTGCACACATAAGCTCCAGGTTAGCTATACATTAGCCTTGTTTCCCAAAATCACTGTAATGATTTATAAGGATCATTATAGAGAAAACAGTATTCATACTGATAGTTAGCCTGTTGTGGTCAACAAATGTTTGTTTACATCTACACAAGAGAATATACTTTAAATTCTTCTGAACATTCCCTCCTCACTACTCTACCATTTAATTGTCTTATGCTGAGGTGTTTGGGTTGGTCTCCCAAGAATCGATTCTTAGATGCACTGCGATTCTTACTATAAAGACCATGAATTGATGCACGTCATAGCTGGACTTTTACAATGTTTCCCCAACCACAAAAAAAAATCCTGTGATGCCTGATTTAAACAGAAAAAGGAAGAGAAATTGCAGGATCCTTTGAATACATACATGACTGCAATCACAACTACTGTACATAAATTAAACAGCCCAAAAACAAAGCATTCTAAACATAATCTATCTAAGAATGAGGTTTGACTAGTTTAGCAAATAGGTCCTAGCTCATATTCAAAGTAAGGCAACACACAAAGTAAGAGACATGTTACTTAAATGTCCGTTACAAGCTTTAATTATCTGTGTTTTTTGGACTAGAGATGCCATAAAGATTATTAAACCCAGCGTGGGCAACTGAATGTACAATACTTTTAGCCTGGCATCAACACACCATTGTTAAACCCCCAGGGCTGCTAGCGGGATCTAGCATTATCGTTGCATGTTTTTTGTTTTTTTGGAAAAACTATTGTAATTAAGTAATTGTATACAAAAACAAAGAACAAATAAATCAAATGAAAATGTAGATTAGCCTTTTTTAAGTTTAAATCTATTATATGGTAAACAAAAACGGAGGCCTGTAGAGGTAACCTAGGTGTTGTATGCAGACTACATTAAAATTCATCAAAGCTAAACCTACTTTTAAAGATGCACAAATACAGGGAAAAACTTTAATATAATATTCTCCTGGGTTGCAGTTGGTGCTGAAGTCTAATTGGTTGAAAGGCAGGAAACACCCTGGACAGGTTGCCAGTCCCTCCAAATACAGTACACACAAATTAACTAAATGGATACAAATGCATACACTGATAGTAAACTACTTTCTACTTTAGAAATGCCATATATACATATATGTATAACACAATTATTCACACACAGTACAATAATTAATATCAACACATTCATGCTTTTGTAGTGGTAAATGCTCATTTTTTCCTAAATGTGGAAAGAAAGTATGTAAATGTCACCTGTATGGCTTTCTGCAGGTCACTGATGAACTGTTTGTGGATGACCTCGGCCATCTGGGGGTTCTGCTTGCACAGAGGATGGAAAGAGTGTGCAAACCTGCTGAAACTGACAACACAGAGGAAGAAAAGGAGGCAGAACAATGCAGTAAGTGGGCATAAAGACATGTATTAACTCACAATCTAGCAGAACTAAACATTACTTCTCTAACTTAGTATTTTCTACAATTTGTGGTGCACAGAATGATATGATGTATCGCCATCAACATATATCTTGTAAAGCCCTGGGTGTCCCATTTCTCACTTTGTGAATAAGCACAGAAATCAAAGCTATGTTCTCCAGTTAAAGAGCTCTCTCTGAAGGGACCATGGCTAATGAGACAGGGGCTCGATTTTGGGGACAAGCTTCTCATAACCTCAATATAGTAATTCGTGGCCACGCCTTATTAAAAATAATCAATATAATCTTATGGACTCCTGATTTAAATTGAAAAGACAGACATTTCTAATCAGGTTGCTGAGGCGGCCGTAAACGAGCAGAAAGAGGAGATTTGTAGTGAACTAACCTCGAATCCGCCACCAGCCGCTGGAGGCTTTTCTCCATCACTTTGTTGAAGACTCGGAGTCTGCTCCGCCGCGGCTCGGCTTCACCGGACTTAACCGAGTCGTTCTCGCGGCCAGCTGCCTGTGCCGAGACATTAGCACCTCCACTAGCCCTACCAGAGTCAGATAAACTGGGCTCTGTCGCGGAGCTCCGCTTTTCCTCCTCCATGGTTCTCCGCTCAGTGTTTACATTCGCATTTAGCCGCCAAGAGGGAAACGTCAACTACGGAACCCCTACTGGTTTACGCCGTCTTTTCGAATCGCGTTTCTCAATGTGCTGCCGAGCGCTTAAAGGGGAAATGTTTCAAAATTTCTGCACAGATTGGTGGTTAAGATATACATGATATAGCAGTCATTCAGAGTGACGATGTAAAACTGTTAATTGTCGCCATGTCTACAACACCAGTGAATCTACGCGTGTCTTATGAGATTGTATATGTAAGGCTGATGATAATAAAAAAGAATGAAAAATCTGAAAAATACATTTTCTTTGGGAACCTACGTGTACCCCTCCACCATGAATGAATTAAAACAAATGGATTAACAAGACGTTTTAGGCAAAACTTTATCACGTTGACTTTGTTTACGTCTCAACCTTTAAATTATGTAAAATTTTTGAAAAATTAGTTCCCCTTTAAGAAATTTTGACTTCCAATTTACAATAACTGTAGCCTCCTTCTTCAGCCCCCCAGGGGCCATTCCACTGGTGGAATGGAAATCAAATTGGATATTTTATATTTTTATATTCAAATAAAATATATTTTCCCTCTAACTTTATTAACAGATTAACTAGGACACTGTTGGGTCTCTGTATGTGACATGCTGTGACTGTGTTGAGCTGCTTGCTAACAATGATGTGTCAAAGGGGAGGAGTGAGTGAACAGTATTGGTTTTTGGCCTTGTCCCCAGAGATTTCACGCTCTTTCCTATTTTACACTGAGAAATGTTATTCTTGAATTGTTTCTCAGTCTTTCACAGAGTGGTGAACCCCTCCACATCTTTACTTCTGACAGACTCAGCCTCTCTGAGATGCTCTTTTATACCCAGTCATGTTACTGACCTGTTTCCAGTTAACCTAATTAGTTGTGAGATGTTCCACCAGGTGTTTTTTTTAGCACTACACTAAATGCTAATTTTGTTGTGTATTTTGTTGCCCCTGTCACAACTTTTTTGAAGTGTGTTGCTGGCATCAAATTCAAAATAGGCAAATATTTAAAAAAAACAAACAAACAAAAAAAAAACGTTTCTCAGTTTTAACTTTTGATGTTGTCTTTGTACAATTTTCAATTAAATATAGGGTTTAAGCGATTTGCACATCATTGCATTTTGTTTTTATTTTTATATATTGCACAGTGCCCCAACTTTGTATCATGAGTTTAATTAAAATATATATATATATATATATATATATATATATATAATCAAAAAATGCTACACACCTCTGCAATTTAGAGCAGGAAGTGAGACTGCATCTCTGACCCTCATTGCCACATGGTGACCAGTTAGTTCCCATTTTTTAAGTAAAATTGTCCCAAAGTCTGAAAATCAGTGTGTAACAGTAAGAAAGGAAGTCACCACTGAAACACTTAATATGCATTTAAGTAAACATTTTGAGTTTTAGGCAAAATAATATGATACCAATTATATGTGTACACTTGTTCAAAGCTATGTTCGCTAGTCATGTACTGGCTAACATTTTTGAATCATTCTCAAAACTACTCAAAATTGCTACTACTGAAACAGTCACTTCTGAAATATTTGGTAAAGTTTCGGTAGTTTTATGATTATTTTAGCAGTGTCAAAATAGAACGATCGGTAATATGTTTTGATAAAATAAACAAAATTAAGGTAGAGTTGGTCAAAACAAAAGGATTTTAGCCCAAATACTCTGACTTTGAACCACTTCAGTAGAATGACCCATATATCATCACTGCCAAAAAAAAAACAAATATCTCCAAAATAGTGACTTTACAGGAGAGGACAAAAACATTCTTTACTCTCAATGTAAGTTAATGTAAAGAGGTTTTATTCCAAGAAATTTTATAGGATTTCTGTTGCCTTTTTCATCGTGAAATTTTCACACAATGTCCAGCTGCCGTGTTAAAATGATGCAGAAATGTAAAAATTGAAAAAAAAATGGAGATACATGTTTTCTTTGGACAGCAATGATATGCAAGGTAAGTGGATTTAGAAGGATATATTTCACAAAAAAACAAGCTTTATTTTAAAAGTCATGAATAATGTTTTTAAGACAAATGTCGGACTATTCCTTTAACCAAGGGGCTGCTCCAAATGCAATCCTCACCCGTCAACAAGTCAAAGGATTCAGCCAACCAGCTTGGCTCTGAGTAACCCAGCAGCTGTCGCAGGCCTATTTCTGTACCCCCACTCTCTGTTTCCTTCTCTCTTCCACGCAGTTTGCCACACTGCTGATATTTCTCTGACCATGGGGCTAATCACCGGGCTGTTTTCATTCTTCTGCAACCTCCCAAGGATTTATAAGTGGCTCTTGCGGCCATATTATTTATTATCTTTTCTTCTGTCCATCGCTTTTCTTGCTGTTAGGAAATGCCCGGGACTGTGTGAGCACTTACCGTCTCAAAGAGAAGACGGCAACTCGTGTGACTTTGACTGGGTTAGTCTGTCCCTCTTTCACCATTCAGCTTCATACTGAATACTGAAAGTCCTGCTTTTTGTCTTTATTTTCTCTAGGGTCAGCGGTGGGACTGGGGTGATATATCTTAGATGCTGGTGTGATTCTGATACACTGATATTGCTTTTCTGTATTAGCAATATTATCATCGATATATTTAATAGATCTGATAGCGGTCTTAGTGTTTTGCCATGCAGTTTGTTTTTAGTTTTTTTATTATATTTTGACACTTTACTCATGGTAACCAGGCCCCCACCATTAAATTGTAGTGTTTGTAATTGCCTGGCTGCTTCAGATTGTTTTGAAAGAACAGTTTAAAATACATCAAAACTAATAAATAGTAAGCTTCCTTTATGTAAGTCACATTTCTATCTGGTTAATGTTTACAATAGTAATTTTTGGTGTAAGTTTAGTAGAATGTCAGGTTTGTCATGTCAGGTTTATAAGACGTTCTATAAGCAACAGCATTTAGAAGGTGTGGGTTCATTAACTTTATTAGTGCTAATTTAAATATGGTCTAATACTGTGCAATGCACAATACATTATACATTTGTAAAGTATCATGGTAATGAATTTTATCAGTATCGCCCAGTACTAGCAATTGGTTTAACTATCTGCATAGTACACTAAATTATAAGTCAGTGGCCTTTTAAGTACACACTTAAAAGAGATGGTTCTTCAAGGGTTCTTTAATAAAAGCAATGGTTCTATTTAGACCTATTAATGCCATAAAGAACCGATTTATGTGTAAATGTTCTTTGCATCAAAGGAACATTACAAACATGGGTCGTAACAGTGAAATGGTTCTTCATTTCATATGGTTAGTAACAATGGCAAAACCCTTTTTGATGCTACATTGAACAATATACAACACATTCTCCATCAATCTGAAGAAACATTTCACCCTGCAAAAGAACATTTAAGCATAAAATGGTTCTATACAGAACTCATGGTCCTAAATAGAACCATTGGCTTTATTAAAGACCCCTGAAGAACCACCGTTTTAGCGTGTAGGCTACTTTGTATCCTGTCCTTATTTGCCATGTTATTGCAGCTTAATATCTCATTGTTATAGCAAGAATAAAAAGTTATAACAGTATAATATCATTAGTCTATTATATTCTTTAGTATGTAAGATCATAGATTTGAGTCTTATTTTATGTTATGTGTTATAGAGGGAGGTGGAGATCCTCATGTTTCTCAGTGCTATTGTCATGATGAAGAACCGCAGAGCAAGTGAGTCCCTCGCTCTCTCTCTCCACACACACACACACACACACACACACACACACACACACACACACACACACACACTCTAGGGGTGGGAGGAAAAAATTGAAACAGGATAATATACTTTTGATTTAAAAACAGCGTGAATACATGGAGGCCCAGGGATCGATAATTTGTCATTTAATTATAGACTTTTAGACTAATAGATTACCAAAATGCATTTCTGTCTAAATCCATAAGACAGAGGTGTTTCTTTCTCCGTAAACCTTTAATATACCAGTAAGAGTCATTTGGGCAGATTCCTAAAATTACTTTCACCTGCAAATGGATCAAAAGCACCTGTTAGATATGCAAGAATAAAGCTTGTTTTACATGATGTCTGTCTGCTTTACAAATAAGAGCAGCTACAAACATTTAAAGGTAATGATAACATCTTTTCGTATGTTGATTTGCCTATGTTACACTTCTCTTTTGCTTTAATTAAAAAAAAACTGGTGAGTGTAAACTTCACTAGATAAAAATGAAAAGTTTTCTCTTGGAGGAATACTTTGCAGGAAATAGTAATAAATCTCAGGTTATGGTACTATGTCATATCGCAATGATTAGCAGATCATAAATCTTTAAATTGCAATTGAATGACTCAAGTAATATGGCTCAAGTATTGTGATAATATTGTATCTTATCGTTTGGCCTGCAGCAATTCCCACTCCTAACACACACACAAGTTTACAGTACTGTATAAACTCATTAGCTGCTATGTATTTTTATGACTCAGACCTTAGATATTCACATGGATTACAAGGCATTAACTGAGATAGTAATAAGTTATGAAAAAAACTATTTAAAAAAATAATTTAGTGAGATTTAATAAGCATTCAGACCTTAGATATTTTATTTTATGACCTAATTTAACCCTAGATGCTAATTGAGATATTAATAAGCTAAATATATACAAAATTATTATTTATAGAGTACTTTCTACTGGAATGTGTCTGCCTCAAATCCTGACACCTAAATTTAACTTGTGAAAATAACTTTTTTGTTATTTTAATGTTTGTTAAAAAAAATTAAATCTTTTTGATGTAAAGTGAAATTGAAAGATTTAGATTAATCACAAGTTAAATAATTGATTAAAATGTCTCAATTACAAAATGCTGTCCCATGTTTTTGTGTCACTACAGAAACACAAAGAGTTTTAGTCCATAGGCAGAGTCTTATTTTAGCCACACCCCAGCATTTTAGAGCAGGAGAGACTTTTTAGAGAGGTGAGACTATATCCCTGTCCCTCATGGCCACATGGTGAGCAGTCAGATCCCATTGTTTTGAAGTAAATGTGTCACAAAGTCTGAAAAGCAGTGTGGAACATTAAACATTGTCACTACCGAAACACATATTTTCTGCAATTATTATAAAATTATGATTTTATGTGTGTATGGCTGTTCAAAGCTGTGTTCGCTAGTCATGTACTGGCTAGTGTTTTTGAATTATATGGCATTAGCATTGTATGGATAGTGAGAAAAGGGAAAGTTCAATCATTGAACTGAGGTTTAGGGCTCGAAGCAAAAATATTATAGTCCACATCAGTTTGAACCAATTTGGTAGAATAATTCTTATAAATAAATAATTCTTATAAACTGTAGTGACATTCATTGCTGTCGTGTCTTATACACTTTGTTCAGAAATTGCTTCATCTTATGTGTGATATATGGCACTAATATTTACCATTGATGAATAATTGTATTATTATTAAAACTATTATCCTCTCTCTCTCTCTCTCTCTCTCTCTCTCTCTCTCTCTCGGTCATCAGTAACTCTGGAGCAGCATATAGGCAACATTTTCCTCTTCAGTAAAGTGGCTAACGTGGTGTTGTTCTTCAGAGTGGACCTGAGATTCGGCCTCCTCTATGTCACATTATGTGTTGGTAAATAAACAATGCATAAACACTCAGACACACAGCTGTCACGTGAACGTGCGAGGGAACACTGTCAATGGTGATATACTGTATGTACAAAAGTTTGTAGACGCCTGCCCATCCAACATTTCTTCTGAAATCAAGGCATCAGTAACAGCCTTTACTCTTCTGGGAAGGCTTTTCACTATGGACTGTCGTTCAAGGATCCAGATTTAAAGACTTCTGCACTAGATGTTGGAACATTGCTGTGAGGATTTGATTGTATTCAGTCTCAAGAGGATTAGTGAGGTCAGGTACTGATGTTGGATGATCAGTTCTGGATCACTCCAGCTTATCCCAAAAGTATTGGATGGAGCTCCATCCGTCCAGAGTACACAGATCTACTGCTCCACAGCCCAATGCTGATGCTCAAAAGTAGTTTTGGGACACTGCATACAATCTATGTCTTATTTATTTATTACTTTCTGAGCAAAAGTTATCTTTTTTTCATTCATATCCATCAGAAAAGATATAACAACCAGCAATAACGGCCAGGTTTACTAACAGACACTCAAAATGATTCCGATAATTAATTGAAAACGTAAGTAAGGCGAATCAAAGCACTCAAACATTAGTGAGGCCAACATTGTCTTTTCCCTTTTTGTAGGTTAGATTTTGTGTTATATTTAGGTCAGCCTTTGTTGCATATCCACTCTTCTGGATAAAAATCCTGATGTTCAGGAAGGTTTGTTGCATGTTCTCTTTTGGATGGCCAGAGTGTAGCAGGGTTTAAACATGTCCTATCTCTTTCCACCACTTTGGGAATATTTTTAGTGACATGGGGGTTACCCTGTAATCCCACATTTTGTTTTAACCCAAATAAATGAAGTGTTTTGTACATAAAACTGAATATATCCCACATATTACTCAACTATTTTAAATTAAGGGAAAGTTTTTGGTGATTTTGTGCATTTAAATGGCATTTTTGAGTTGGATTAACCTATTGCAATTTCATTTAGTCTGTTGCCATGGCAGCTTTGAAACCACCACATTCCAAAAATGAAACTGCATTTGCTGTTGATTTTAAAAGTAGATATGTTATAACTTAAGTTTGGGAGGAGAAGCATGGCCGAAACCCTCCTTTTTCCAATGTAACGGCCTATAAATTCACGTCCTCACCTTCTATTCCCGTGAAACACTTTCGCAATCCCCACCGCCAACCCATCTCCTCCCTGTTCCTCATCCTACATCAGTCCTACTACAGCTATGAGGGGGTCTGGCCTTCTAGCTACAGGCAGAAGATGCCCAGAACTCCAGCCCAAGTTCTCAGAGTTCTCCCCCTTCTTCAATCTTTCCCCATACTATCACCACCATGTTGAAAGCATGGTCTGAACTCACAAAGTGTTTTTAATATTCCTCAACAAATGTGTAAAACGGAGTGAAACCAATTAAGACGTGTCATTGAATTAAATGCAGTGACATGTGTTTGCTTAACACAATCTACCTTTTCCCCATTGGCTCCTAACTCCATTTATTTGCATACCAGGTGTTTCTTTCCCTTTATTATACTTAGCATTCTTCCACCCAGCCTACCGTCCCTCATGTGTCTGCTTTCCATTTGTGTTGCAGTTAGCTGTCTGGGCTTGTGGCATTGGCTAGTAGGGCAAGTTAAAGTTCTTCCTGCTGCTGAATGTGGGCCTGTGCTGGCACGATACTGCAGTGACCACATGCACGCTAAGAGTTAACTCAGTAGTGTTTGGCAACATGGTCAAAATTAGTTAATCAGAAGTAGTCATTTAAATGGCTATTAAAATATATAATCACAGTAAAAATCTGGGTTTGACTTTGACTTGAAAAAATTAAATTAAAATAATAAGAATTTATTAGTTGCAGAAACATACATCTAAGTTTATGTAACACATTGGGCCTCATTCACTTTGATTTTTTTTTTCTCAAATGTGTTCTTGAGAAAGGTCCTGTGAAAACATCTACATCAGATTCATGATGTGTTCTTAAACCACAGAAATGTTCGCACCTTTGTGCTATTGAGTGTGTGTAGATTCTTTCTTACCTAAGAACAAATCCCAAATAAGAAAACATCGGTGAATATCAGAATTTTTGTAAAAATTGCATAAGTGGGTTTTAAGAAATTTCTTCTTAAGAACGGTTGGTGAATAAACCCAATTGAACTTAAATTTCTGGTTTGTTCACCAAAGCTTATTTTTGGGGCAACGGGTTACCTCGATTTGTATAGCTTATGTGAACTTATTTGGGCTTATAGTGTAGATGAAAGCTCTCTAATTTGTTTTCATTCAGCTGGAACCAAAGTATTGAATGATAAATTATACGTGGAACGATCTGCTTTTGAATATGGTAAAGCACCGTTTCCATAATACATTAAATAACTACATAATTCTATAAACAAATGATGATAGAAGTGTCCCAAAACTGCTATTGAACACTATGAAACCTTTCAGCTGATGCTTGGCATTGGACATGTGCAGTTGCTCCAGATCATCCTGTACTATTGGCAATGCTTTTCTTAGAGATTATACAAGCTGTGCATGCAGTTGTGTCAGCAACTAATTAGAAGGCCAGTCTAGATACTTTGGACACACAGTATTTTGTTTAAATAGATGTACTATGTACGCTTTTCAATGTGAAGCACAAAATGGATTTATCTGAATGATCTCCTTGAACTGCAGTGTTCCTGATTACATGTAAACCTCCCTATCTACATGGGCCCAGAGTACATCAAATACTTCAGCGACAAAACCATAGATGTGAGTACTGCACAGAGAACCATACTGGATCATTTGACTATACATGGTTGTTTTTTCCTTTTTTTGTGGTTTGAGATTATTATGTGAAGAAGTGTGTTGTGATGTTAGGAGGAACTGGAGAGGGACAGTCGAGTAACGTGGCTTGTCGAGTTTTATGCCAACTGGTCTCCCGAGTGTCAGTGTTTCGCCCCCGTTTTTGCTGACCTCTCACTGAAGTAAGACGAGCACACCCACACAAAATGCTGAGAAATCAGAACTAACATTTGCACATTTGTCATATAAATATTTTATTCAACAATAACTTTCCTGCTAGAAAAACCAGCACAGTCCAGCATGGCTGCTCAACAGCAAAAGCAGCATATTGTATGTGTTGTATTTTGGTTGCTGACATGTTGGTCAGCAGCAATGCAAGTTATTAGGCTGATCACCAGGAAAGCAGCATGTGTCGTGTTTTGGATGCTGGTGTGCTGGTAATCCAGCATGGTACCAGCATCAAAACACAACATATGCTGGTAAACCAGCACCAAACCAGCATAAACCAGCACTGACTAGTTTAGACCAGCATGGAATGGATGCTAGTTTGTATTGTTTTTCTCAGCAGCGTTGTTTTGTGAAATTGAAAAAGTTATTCACTAAAAAAAAGTGTAATTGTATATTTATAGGCATTATTTTGATCAGATCACCACTCTATATTAATTTTCTATATTAAATTTATCATATCTTCATTATTGATGTTATAGAGCTTTCTATATCATATTAGAATCATCATTCTGAATACACTGAAAATTTCTTACGGCTTTCAGTCCATTATTTAAAACCTACGTAGCACAGTAAATTAGAATCATTTTACACGTCATTGCAAACAAATCACATTATTGATAAGTGTATGTAATCACAAAGTTTTTTGGCTGCTTCTCTGCAGGTACAACTGCTCTGGCCTCAAATTTGGAAAAATAGATATTGGACGATATGCAGGTGTTGCAGAGAGGTAAGCTGTCTTCTCTAAAAAGTAAAACATATGACTCACTTGCCTGACCCCACTGATGGCCACATCTCCTGTGTTCAGGTATAAAGTAAGCCCCTCTCCACTCTCCAAGCAACTGCCCTCTCTGCTGCTGCTGCAAGGTGGACGGGAGATTATACGTCGCCCTCAAGTGGACAAGAAGGGGAGGGCTGTGAGTTGGAGCTTCACAGAGGTAAAGAGCTGAGAATATGGTTTAGAATATTTGTTCAAACTTAGTGTTTTTTAGACACTTAGTGGACGTGAGTTGGGTTCAATTTTCATGCAACATAATTACACATTTATCTCATTGCTGGTAATTAGGCTATTTATTTTACTCAATCTGACAGGTAACTTTATCAATGATCTGTTAAGGTTTATTTGTTTAGTGGTCAGGTTCGGACACAATTTGGTTGGGCTACAGATGGATTCAGGCAAAATGTTTTCAGGCTACAGTCTAATTTGGACACAATTTTTCTGGGCTACAGCTGGGTTCAGACAGAATTTTGTCAGGCCACAGCTGGACTCAGATAGAATGTAAGGTTACAGTCGGATTCAGACAGAATTTTGTCAGGCGAAACTCAGACTGCGACAGAATTTTGTCAGGCCACAGTCCGATTCAGACATATTTTTGTTGGGCTACAGTCATATTTGGAAAGTATTTTGTTGGAATACAGTCAGGTTCAGCCAGAAATTCGTTTAGCTACAGTCAGACTCGAACAGAACATTTTGGACAACATTTGGCAGGGCTACAGTCTGATTTGGATAGAATTTCTTTGGGATACAGTCAGATTTAGACAGAATTCTAAGGTTCTGAAGTTAAATTTAGATAGACGTTTGTCAGCTTACAGTAAGGTTCAGACTGAATTTCCATTTACATTCGGGTTTGAATTGACTTTTGTCTGACTACAGTTGGATTTGGACTAATTTTGTCAGGCTCTAGTCCTGTTCGTATTCTAAACCCAGTGCTGTGGGTTGAGTGTCAGACTCAGACAGAGAATATTCTCAGGCAATGTTTAGATTCAGTTGCACATGCCTGGCCTGATTCCACAGAATGTGAAGCAGTGGTGTTAAAACACTCCTTTCTTTGTTTCTGCAGGAAAACATAATTCGTGAGTTCAACCTGAATGAAATTTTCGAGAAGTGTAAAAAGCTCAAGGGCCGGAGTGAGAAGATAGAAGAGCTGGGGTCTCTCCCACTGGAAGACCATGATGAGGAACAACCAATCAGAACATTGAAGGAGGAGTCAGAGAGCAAGAAAGACAAATAAAAGGAAAGAGCCCACAGTGTAGATTAATGGAAGATTGGATAACATTTGTGTTTATATGTCTAATTTACGCAGCGCCTGCTGGTGGTACACGTTTTTGTACATGCAGCCTGGAGTGGCTAGCACTGAAAGCTATAATTTGGCAAAGAAACAAAGTTCAGTTTCCCTTTACCCCAAAATGTAGTCAATTAACCAAGACATGTTTGGTGTCAGAAGTTCAGTTCAATACTATAGTTTTGCACAGGAGCTATGATGCTAAAATGTATCTGATAAATAATGCATAAATCATTACACTTGTCTTAAACTGTGTCAAGTAATCTAATTTTACATATTTTTAAAGATAGCACTACGCTTTAGTAATTCTTCTCAGAACTATTGCTTTAAGAGGAATCAGGTGAATGAAGATGACCTGCACACCTTCAGTTGACTTTACTGTTGACTGTTTCAACCAAAAACAGTTATCACAGACACACTGACCAGCTTCTGCCAGAGATACCTTGACTTCTGTTACTTGTTGCTTATTATCTGTCTTTAAGCCAAATAATGTCTATAGAAAGTGTTAGTCTTTTCAAAGGAGGCTGATATTAGTGAGAGGCCAGTGTTTTAGTTGCAAGGTTCAGTTCACCCTCATTACTGTGAATAAGGAGAAGACAGTTACACTTTCACTGTTGCAGTATTATTTATTGTTCTGTTGGAAATGTGTTGGCTCACGTGACCCAGTGTCACCAGCATTAAAGGAATACAGAAGGGTAGAAAAAGCCTGCACTTCATTCCTAGAACTCAATACATCTTTCACTCCTCCACTCCATCCCATTGTTCCATGTTTTTCCTCTCAATGGATGTGCAGGTAGAGATCTTCAGACCCTAAGTTACAGTTAAAAAGGCTTCATAAGGCCATGGTGGAAATGACAAAAGAGTATCAATAAAAATACTTTTGTGTGTCACTGCATAAGCTCTTTATATCTTGCACTGACCAGTCACTGGTCCTCAAAGCTAACTCATAACCAAATCACCACTTCCCTTATGCTTATATAATACGCACACCTTAGCAGATTCTCTCAACAGGGTAAAAGTTGGAATGTGCTCCTGTACAAGATTTTGAGACATCAATAATCCTGCGAATAGCATCGCTTTTTTCTTTCATTCTCTATGCACAGCTTTGAAACTTCAAGGGCAGTAATACTTGTACTCCAGCTCTCAACAGTAACCGCTGCCCATAAAAATAAACAACAAAATCAATGAACATAAAATAAAAGAATACATTATCACTATCCCCAGTCTCAGTGGTGTACTGCACATTCAGTATCTGCTAACGTTGGGCCAGGATGCCCCCTTTGGCCAAAAGTTTAACCTTCCTGGGACTGGCAGACCAAATCAAAAGATACAGCCGTTCACTCTGCACAAAATATCTTCACTGTACAGATGTTTTGTGCTCTGAAGATGTTATTCACTTCTAGAGGCCAAGTGTGCTGCCTGTCAAAACAAGGTCCCTGACCAGATCTCTTTGGCTGATAATTCCAGCTTGGGTGTTGATTGGCTGATGCAGCCATCAATTATATCAAATAGCTCCACCCCTAAAACGCTCATACCTCATGTGCCTACCTGCTACTATTATTGGCTGACGTTCCTATCAAACATATTCAATAATTATTACAATATACTGTATCTGTACCTGTATAAAATAATATATTTGGAAATAAAGAAATAAGAAAAAAAGAAATAAGAAAGAAAAAGTGTATGTCCAGAGGTGGAGGCTGTAGGGAATGCTGAGTAAAATTAATTACTCTTGCCTCAGTGTTTCAAACACCTAATTGGTTGACTTGTGAGACTTCTGCAATTTCCACAGGAGTCAATGAGCAATCGATCACTGGCTACCGACGAGGTGTAACCGCACATGATTTTGTCCACCAATGTCAGCAACTCCAGACTTGTATGGCACCAGCCTTCAGAGATCTCACAGTTGCACAGTATAAAACTGGTAATACAACAAGTAATTCTTTAAATATGTAACAGAATTCGTGAAGATTCATGTACCATATGGAAATTAAGAAACCACAGCATGTAGGGATCTTCACTGGTCCAGATTCTTAGCAATCTTCCTCCAGGGACTGGTTGACTGATGATACTACCTGTTCAAGTCTCTTGTGACATTTGCCTTAGTACTTTTTGTTAAACTTTTTTTTGGTTGAACTGCTCTCGACCCATCCTCAAGGCAGAGCTGTTAAGCCCTGCGATGTGAATCCTGGGAATCGGGTGCTGACCGTTCATACTGAAATCTCATAGGTCGTTCCACCGACACCGCTCACTTTCTTCACCCCACCCCCAGGTTTGTGTGCATGGGTGCTGTGATTGGCCAGGCTTTGCCTACTGGTAGAGCTGATTGGTTGGAAGGAAGAATGGAGAGAGAGAGACATAAGTAAATTCAAACACCGAGCATGTATTTGTACGGCTTGAGAATCCTTAAAACACACAGTGAGCAAGGCCTGGGCGACACGCTGAGCAAATATTGATACAGAGATGTGACACAACCTATGGTGAGACAGTTTCTGTATCAAGATATTGCAACTTACACTCTACGTCCAAAAACATCCTGATAGCTACTTTAATGTGCACCCACTGCTGACACAGGTGTTCAGTCACCCACACACAGCTTGTATAATCCCCATAGAAAGACATTGACCAATAGAATGGGATGCTGCGAAGTCTAAGGTCACCATGCCCAACGCCAATCATCAGCTAGAGGCATATAAAGCCCCCCAATATTGGGCTGAGGAGCAGTGGGACTGCATTTTCTGGAATGACGGAGCGCCATCCAATACGTCCGAGTTGAGCTGAAGTAGTGGTGGTGAACAAGAACTAATCATCCAACATCAGCAACTGTCCTCTCTAATGCTCTCGTGGCTGAATGCAATCAAATCCTCACAGCAATGTAGTGTAGAGCCTTCCTAGAAAAGAAAGGCTGTTACTGCAGCAAAGGAGGACAAACTCCCTATTCATACCCTTGATTTCAGAAGAAACATTGGATGAGCAAGTGTCTACAAACTTCTGGACAAATAGTGTAGTTTAACTCTTGGAAGACCAGAGTTATTATTGGGATTTGGCACTTTTTAATTATTTAGTTATTTTAAGTAATTACATGCTTAGTTACATAACGAATTACTATTACAGGTTTGTAGACACCTACTCATCCAACATTCCTTCTGAAATCAAAGATGTATTCAGCCACAGGAGCATTAGTGACTGTTGGATGATCAGTTCTGGATCACTCTGACTCATCCCAAAAGTTTTGGATAGAGCAACATCACTTCAGTGAACATAGTTGTACTGCTCCACAGGCCAGTGCTGGGGACTTTATACCCCTCCTGCTGACCTTTGGAATTAAGCATGGTGGGCATGTGCAGCTGCTCCAGAGCTTCCCATGTGTGTGCGCAACTGAATGCCTGCGTCAGCAATGGATGCACCTTATAATACCCAAATTCACTAATTAGAAGAAGTGTCTTTTGAACATATAGCGCATCACCTTTTATACTTACAAACACAAAAGGAATATTGATGGAAAATTTAGAAGCTGCATTTTTGACAACATATCTGCTAGTTTCAGTGAGCTCAGAGTCAAAATTAAATAATATACAATAACAACAAGATTTTGTGACTTCCAAGGGTTAAACACTGTTTCTCAGTCATTATGTCTTTCCTTAAACTTTCAGACTTATCCTGGTCTGGTCTGAGAACAACTACTGAAAGAGAAACATTTCAAAGAACATCTTGCTAACCACAAATATCTAAGTCTTAAGCTCTATTCGGGTGGGATTAGTTTTATAAGAGGAGATGGGGTAATGTCGGTTTTGTCTGGCGTTTCTCAGTCATTATAATCCTGTATGAATGTACCATGTTAGTCACTGTCTGCATACTCCCACATCAGTAAAGATTCTGGTACCTTTTATGTTCATGGAAATAAACCCAGATTATATTAATCCTGTGCGAATCGACATAGTCAGTAAAAATGCTATTGTATGCTGTGGAAAAGTGTTTAATAAGAGGTTTAATAAGGTTAGTAAGAGTTTAAATATTAAGGCACTCAAAGAAGTGTTTATTTGTGGCTAAATCAAGCCAATATGTAACGTTACTGTCCTACCTCACACGAGCAACTCGGAACATGTGAAAACTACAGAAAAGGTTTTGATTTTGTGCTGTGATGTTGACTGTTGGTTATGAATTCCCATGCTAATGACAATGACATTTAAGATGACAAGATTTCTTATCTCATGCAAATAATCATTACAGATGTCCTGTAGTAAACTGGCATTACCCCACCTCTCCATGGAAAACGAATCCTGTCCAAATAGGGCTTTAGTATTTTTATATACATTTCCTTCATGGCATCATCTTTATAGTGACAACTAGCCTTATTATACTGTGACAATGCCAATATATTATATATCAGTAATTTAATACCTTATCGCCCACCCCTACAGTGAGCTACAGAGAGAGTGACATACTGATGCCATGCACTCAGGTTAAAAAACTGCACACAATCACTAACACTCCAGACACTCTCCAAACATATCAGCACACACTGAGTGAGACGCAACGAACTGGACATACAAAGAGAGACAAACCTTAGCACAGAGACAGAGTCATCCTTAACGGCCACAAGGCAGGAGAGGTGAGGAAGAAAGAGCAGGCGGATACAAGTGAACAGAAAAATACAGGAGGAAAAAGGGATAATGGGGTACATGAAGATGGCAGACATAGGGACGAGATATGGGCAAAGGAAGTGGCAGGAGGTGAGTATAAATGACTAGTAGTTAGACTGAGAAAGATATCACATTACTGAACACGGGGAGAGGAACAGAACATGCTACACCAAACCTCAGAGGGGATGTCAAACTTTACCATCATTCAGGAAAGAACGTGGGGGGTGTGTGGGGGGGGAGTAGGGATGGGCACGGTTATTTGAATGTACAGATACCTGAACTCATCTCAGTATTTGTTTACTTAAAAGAATAGTTTGGCAAAAAATCTAATTCACACAATTTTCCACTTAACCCAGGTGTAGCTGATAACATAATTAGTCCTATATATTTGATCCTAGTGCAGTACAGAATGTGAAATGTTGAATAAACATCACTGTGCCCAAAGTTTTTGATTGCTGTTTTCTAATATGGCAATACTACTGCATTGTGTCTGTGTGTTAAAATATTGTGATATGCATTATGTACTGTGAAAATGTCTAAGCATAGTGATATATTTTTGCCATATTGACCACCCCTACTGTGAACAATAAAAATGAACAAAACTTAATTGCTTCAGACAACACCAAGGCTACTCATACTCCTGATGCACTCATAAGCCTGAAATGGTTTGTGAATATAGACACTGTTGTCTATAACGGCTGCATGCAGTGTTTAGCTACATGGCAAAGTTTTGTTAATTTTTATAGTTTACAATAAACCATACTGTGTTCTTAACCACACAGACAAGCCTGTGCGACTTTAATTAAGACCTGGATGTGATCTGAGTGGGTTGAGACAAATCTGGAGATGTTTATACGGACAAGATTTGGGCTCTTTGGGTGACTATTGAGTTCTAGTGATTGTTAGCAACATCAACATTGCAGCTCCAGTTCTAAAATAAGCATGTCTTGGCTGATCGATTACATCTGGGGTAAGTGGAAAACTAATGTAATTTAGCTTTTTTGTTATTTAGATTTTTTACTGTTTAACTATTCCTTTAATCAGATGTTTGAATAAGGCATCTGCAGTTTGGAAATAAAATTAAATTATCGCTTATTTTCTTGTAAATGTTTTTAAATCCGTTTTTGACTGAACTAGTGATGCAACTGCAGACAATGTCAGGACAGAAACAGCTGGTAATGCGTCTCATATTGAGCAAAATGGCAGGATCTAAAAAAAGATACAGGCTAAATGGATAATATTTCAAACAAAA